TCGGCTGCCCGGGCACCTTTCCCAGCAGAATTCAGACCCCTCAGCTTCACAACAGCCACTGACAAGGATCAGAGTCAAACACTACTGCAGAAACCCCAAGGTGGCAGCAGAAAGAGCTGCTGGTGTTGTCTTATCAGCACTTAAATCCCCCTGGGATGCAAATTCCATACGTTTAGCTCTGTCAGAGGTCAGGGTTTCTTTCTTTTTGGCAGATAATAAGGGTTAACGGACATATCGGGCGTCCACGCTCGCCCTACAGGAGTCATGTTCTGAATTTGGACAGGACAAGAATCACGAGGTAAAAGGACTTGCCAAAAATTGTTCATCTACCAGTACTGGTGGAGGAGGATTCAGTTATTAATATATTATTAATATACGCTACTATAATTAGCAGCTGAATCCTTAGAATGAAGGAATGAAGAATGAAAAATAAATTCCTCTTGGGAGCGAAGCAGAGAAGAGAAATGTTTGCGAGACACATTTACCTTGCACGTCAGTGAACTTCCTTCAGCCGCAAAGAGTTTCTAGGGGACACTTAGGGGGCAAGGAGCCAGGCTGAGCCCAGCCCCAGGGCTGCTGGCAAAACCAGCCACTTCCCTCCTGGTCCTGATTTCTCTGCAAAACTGGTCAGAGTGCATTAAAAAATAAGGAAAAGAGTGGTGTTTCCTGTCCCTCGCTCCCACCTTGCCGGAACCTTCCCCAGGAACAGGAAGAACAAACACAATTGCAGATGGGACTGTATAAACAAAGTGGCTGGGGCAGGGAAAAAAAAAAAGAGGAAGGCCAAATTAAAATCCCAATTTTTACAAAACCAGGCCAGATTTCAAATCCAGGAGTGTCCTTTTAAACTGGTCACACAACTCGTCACCCAGCAGTGGGATGTGCCTCACAGAAGTTCTGGGGTGAAGCCCGTCCTACCCCCCGTGTCAGGTAACTCCAGCCGGGGGCTGTGGGGGGGCTCAGCCTCTCCTGGGAACCAAAGCTTTCATGAAAGGCTTCAGAGAGACCCAGATCCCCCAGACCTGCCTTCCAGCACCTGATGTCATGGTTCCAGCCCGGCAGGATCTCCTGCAGACCCCTCTCCACACAGAGAGGACGCAGCTCCAAGCGGCCCCCAGAGAGTGGGGAGCCCAGGGACCCTACCGAGGGGGGGCTGTGGGATGTGAGAGAGGAGATGTGGCCCCAGAGCCCTGCTCCCAGCTACACCCACAGGGTCACAGAGGAGCTTTGCAAAAGAGCTTTTGGTGGCACTAGAGGCCGCTGTCACCCCGGGGGAAGGCTGTGACCCAGCCGGGGGCTGGGACCCCCACGTCTCCACCACCTGCCTGAACCAAAAACGTGTTTGTCTCCTGCACCAGCAGGAGAGGGTCTGCGTGAGACACCGATGGCCCAGCACCCGTCGCCTGCAACATAAAGGGTTCCACTTGAATATGAGGAAGAACTTTTTCACGGTGAGGGTGATGGAGCCCTGGAAGAGGCTGCCCAGGGAGGGTGTGGAGTCCCCTTCTTTGGAGATTTTCAAGACCCGCCTGGATGCTCCTGAGTAACATGCTCTGACAAGCTCTAGGCAATCCTGCTTCAGCAGGGGAGTTGGACTAGATGATCTCTATGGTCCCTTCCAACTCTAAAAATTCAGTGAAATTCAGTGAAATTCAGTGAAACTGCCCCCCAGCAGAGCCAGTGCTGTGTTCAACTGGGCAAACGCAGTTACGATGGGAGACAACTGGAGGCTGGGAGGAGATTGTGCAAATGGCAAAACAGTAAAGTTCATCTGGGGGTCCAAAATTCCCACGAAAAAGGAAAAGAAAGGGGCTGGCAGAAATACAGACTGTGGAGGATGGTGCGTTTCTGCTCATCCCCTGCACTCCATGGAACGGAGGGAGGCTGGAGGTGCTGCTGCTGCATGTAAATAGCGGCCTTCCAGTACCTGAAGGGGCCTACAGGAAGGCTGGGGAGAACCTGTTTAGAAAGGCCTGTAGTGACAGGACGAGGGGCAATGGCTTCAAGCTGGAGGGGAACAGATTTAGACTGGAGATGAGGAGAGGGTTCTTCACTGGGAGGGTGGTGGAGCACTGGAACAGGTTGCCCAGGGAGGTGGTTGAGGCCCCTTCCCTGGAGATATTCAAGGTGAGGCTCGAGGAGGCCCTGGGCAACCTGGTCTAGTTGGGGGTGTCCCTGCTGACTGCGGGGGGGTCGGACTAGATGGCCTTTGGAGGTCCCTTCCAGCCGGGACAAATCTATGATTCTATGATTCTATAAATATGCGCGGAGGCATGTAAATATGTGCTGGGACATGTAAATATGTGTCGGTACATGTAAATATGTGTCGGTACATGTAAATATGTGCTGGGACATGTGAATATGTGTCGGTACACGTAAATATATGCTGGGACATGTAAATATGTGTTGGTACATGTCAGTACGCGTGGCAGCAGCGTGTCTGGACACCCCTGACATCAGCCCCCCACCATGCAGCCGATGGCTCTGCTCCCTGCGGGTACAGCCGGCACAGTGCTCCTCCAAACCCCTCCTCCTGCGCTGCCGTCTCCTCTCTTGTCTCTTTCCTCCCCTTTCTAACAACACGAGCCATGATCCGCACTATTTTCCAGCTGCTGGAGCGGTTCCTGACCGATTTAACCAGCAACCAAGCAGCAGGTAAGACACGGTGGATGAAAGGCTCGTTGGCCACCGAAGGATGCAAAGAGCTCCCCAGAGCAGTGCGCCAGCGGTTCCTCCCGAGCCAGCAGCCTCTTCTGCTTTAACCTTTTGGCTTCACGCAGATAATTTAAGGCCACACGTTAGGAGACATCCCTGTGATCTAATATTAGATGATAAGCTTGTTTATGTTTTTGTTGCTAAGAGAAACCCGGAGCTTTGGAAACACTGAAGCAGATGAAATGCTCCTGCAACAGCTGCCGGAGGGAGCTGAAATCCATACAGTGCTTCCCTGACAACTGCTCGTCGTTTGCCTTTTTTTATTTTATTTTACTGGAATTGGTCTCCTTCCAAAAGAAGCTGTTCCCATTTAGGTGACCTCTCCTGTTTCTCTAGGTCCGTGTTTCCCAGTTCAAAATGTGCAGGCACTTCTCCAGTCGGTAAATCCTGCTGCTAGAACACACCTTCAGAAATAAGGTTTCCTCCACCCACAAGCACAAGGCACCATTGCTGGGCTTTTTTTTTTCCTCTCAGTAGTTTCAAAACATCAATTAAAGGTGGGAGGAATTTTCTGGTGTTTCTCTTTGCATTAGCATAATTCATAGGAGACGGTTCTCTCATAAAAATGCAGAGGACTTAACCAGATCTTCTGTATTATTTATAGAAAGTGATTTGGCAATAAATGCCAATGCAGCAATATTAATAGATGCTCTTTTGGGCATTTACAAGGACTCTCACAGTCAAGTTTCCCGTCTGCAGGCGCTGCCAAAGCTCTGGTGGGTTCTGGGGAGCCCACTTCTCCAGGGACAAACCTAAACCTTCTGCAACTTGACTCTGGGCTTGTCAAAATGGAGATTGTGTTGTGAAACCGTCCAACGTGTGAACTGAGAGCTCGACACGCGCTCTGTCCCGTCACACAACCTCACGCTGCACCAGGAGTAGCTTTTGGCAGCTCGTCCCAATTCAACTGCAAATGACACCAGCCCCAGTGACCCCCAGCAAGATGACACAGACACACAGGGCACCGCTGGCATTGAAGGTAAGTGTTGTGACAGATGGAGATACGCCGCAGTCCCTATTTCACCAGGGCCCCGCACACAGAGCTGATGAACGCGGCTCACCCACAACGCAAAGCCCTCAAAGCTCTCCCTGTGTTAGCTCCGGAAAAAAAACCAAAAGCAAAAAAGCCCAAATGGCATTAAAAGTCTGACTGTTTTCCCAACAGCACGGGCCGCCTTCTCTCTTGGGTCCATGGAGCTGACTGCGGATACGGCCCCGCTCAGCTCCACCACCTCCACCTCAGCAAGCTGCTCATTTCCATTAGTGCTCGTCACATCCCTGGCTTTGGGCCATTTAAAATTTGTCAGAGCACCATCTCCACTCAGGAAAGTCTGTATTTTAAGAAGTTGTTATTTTAGTTTGGAAGAATCTATACAGTGAAAATGCCCCGTGAACTGGTTGCTGGTTAGAAATACCCAGTTCATCGCTGCCTTGGATTTATTACCATTTACTTTCACTGACGCCATCAGAAGAGCCAGATTTTGCAAAAGTTAACTTGTTTATAGGAATAAATATGGATCATTTGATATTCTGTACTTAAATGCACACTGTAAATTTTCTTTGAAAAAAGCACTTCAACAGAGCAGGTTTATATTTCCCCAGCCTTAAAATAACACCATATGCTGAGAAAGAGACACCACCAGCTCCATTCAGAGTCATTCGAAATGCGCGACTGCTGGGACGGCCTCGGTGGCAAATGGCAGATTTCTGCCTCTGGGCTAAGACTCCCTTTATATCAATGGAAAGAAATGCCTCCTCTGGAGCGTGGCCCGTCTCCTCCTGCTCTGCACACCCCCACGCACATCCACACGCTCTGGGGATGTTTGCTTTCCCCCACTAACGGGGGTCTCCGGGGGGGTTGTGCAGCAGAGGTGTCTCCATTGGGGTGTACAGAAATGGAGCTGGGCAGAACCAGGGGATGGACGGGATCTGACCGTGGCTCAGTCCAACCCTTTTTTTAGGATGGGATTCTCATTACAGAACCTACTGCGGGTGGCTACTGGGCTCTGTCCCTCTGCACACAGAGGCCTTGGGGACTGAGATCAGTAGCCGCGACAACTACTGAAAATACAGGCTGAGACGCTGAAAAGACAAGTAGAAAATCATAAAACTAAATTTAACCTACTCGCCAGCGGTGTCTCAATTCAAAACCTGGAGACGGAGCAGGGGCAGCAGCCCAGAACTCCAAGCTGCACCTGAGAAACAGTTCTTACAGCCCACCATCACCATCACCACCACGTGAGAGCTGGCCACGGCGGAGGGACCCACACGCTCTGCTCACTGACCTTCTGCGCTCCCTGGCTTCCTCAGCTGAGAAGTCCTTTCCTGCGGTTGAGGCAGCACCGGCATTGGCAATACCGTTAGCGGAGCCGAGTACAGCACGGTTTGTGATTACACCTAGGGGGGTGCTAGCAGAGATGCCCTCTGTATTTTTCTCTACAGCAGAATCAGTTTGTTGCCTGAAAGGGGCTCTGAAATAGAGAAGACATAATGGAAAGCAAAGCAAGTGAACTCAAGCGCTGCCCGAGACCAGCCACCTCCAGGGAGCATCGACAGTTCATTCTCCTCCTTCTAGACTCGGGGTTTTGTAGACAACAGCACACATTAAAACCAGGTTTTAAAAACTCGTAGAAGAATAAGCAGGAGGAACTCACAGTCTTCACAACCCCTGTTTGTAGCAAAAACGATTAGAAAATGTACCTGGTGCGTACGCAGAAGGAATGAACTCCAAGAGCTCGTGCCCTGAACGCCCAAGAGCTTCCTGAGCAACTTCTGTGTCTCTAACGGGGAGCGAGAGGCCACAACCGGCCACTCGGGTGGGGGAGGAAGCCCCGCTCCTGCAGGGGCTGCTCACTGCCTGCTGGTGCACACACACCTCTGACACCGTCCCACGCGCCCCGCCGGGACCGCTCGGCAGCGCTCCCCACCTGGGAGCACGCTTCCAATCCACATCCACTCCAGAATTCAGAACTGCCAACCCAAACGCCGCTTTTCGGCAGCGCTGTCTGAGCGGGAGCCGTTACCTGGTGTGCTGGCGGGCTGGCGCCGTGGTGTTCGCACCCAGAGGTGTGGGGCAGGCGGGGACGGGTTGCCACGGGGTGCCCAGGGCGGTGGGTGAGGTAGCTAGAGATGGAGTGCGACTGGCTGAAATGTAGGGACTGCTGAGGTCACTACTTCTACCAAATGAAGCACTGTAAAACATCACAAAATCACGTCCTTCAGAGCACAGTAAATATTCAACAGCACATCACCCCAGCTGGCCCTCAGCTGGCAAGGGAGCGGGTGCCACCCCTTAGAGAAGTGTGTGGAAGGAGATGAGAGCCCACCAGAGCCGGGGCTCGCGCGAGCAGCACCCCTTGAGCTAAGCCCAGCCGAGTTTCAGCGAGAGGACAACGGCCTGGAGGGGAATCGGTGAAGATGAGGAAGGGAAATACCCTGGGGCAGTGAAAGCGGCGCACACAGAGCACCCGGGAACCACGGGGAGGGGGACAAGGAGCCAGGATGAGATTGCTTAAAGCAGGGAAGGAGAGAGTGGCAGGAGCAGGTCTGGCTGCATCCCTTCCCAAGGATGCTCAGGACTCCCAGCTTTAAGAACTTGTTTTCAGTGGATTAAAGCTTTGGGAAAGACGTTCAGCTCAGGCTTTAATTGCCTTTAATATATACTTGGTACAACTTCTGTATTTCTGGAAAAGAGCTAGCAAAACTGCCCAAAACATATTCAAGAATGAGCAAAGGAAACACATATTTTGCCAGTTTTAAACAAAACCCTTAAAACCATTATTACTAAAAACCTGTGATTGTTGAAGAGCTCATAGTCTGGAGAAGAGACAGGAGGAGAGGAGATGGGCTCTCATTCGGGGATGTACCCTTTTGCTTTTCCAGAGAAAATCCTTCCTGAGTGGGAGAAGCCGCACACTTCTAAACCCAAACTTGATGAAATCTGGCAAAATCTCCTGCTGCGGGTGCCAGAGCCCTGTAGAGAGGCTGCTCGGAGTCTGCACGGGGCAAACGAGCTCCTGGGCATGTTCTTGGACCCTGCCATGCCTCTCCCAGCAACTGATATTCCTGGTTGCTACTGGTCAGACTGGGCTGTCCGCAGGATCAAAGGCAGGGAGGCTGGAGGGCTGCCTTTCCCCTCCCGACAGAGACAGAGCACAGGAAAAGTGGCTGCACCAGGAATAAAAGCTGACCTGGAGGGAAAGCAGAGCAGGACAAAGAGCTGCAGGCTGATGGGAACGCCAGGGCCAAGGGGCTGGAACTGGAAGTCAATGCTAGAGCACGAGTCAGAGAGAGCAGCCCCAGGCTGAAATAGAACTTGAAAGGGGCAGGACAACAGCCAAGCACAGGTCAGAGGAAGGATCCAGTCCAGTTCACTCAGGCACCCAATTTACAAACCAGTTTGACGTGCCAAGGCCAGCCCAGAACAAGCAGCTGGTCCCCAGACAGCCAGAGGAGAGAACGGGGCATCCTGGAAGGCCTCCACGGGGAGGAACCTTACGTTGGGGCTCTTCAGCTGGTGGCTGCCTGCCACATCCAGGTCACAGAGGAAGAAGGAAGTTATTGTCACCAGGGAGCAACCTCCACCGGACCCTACGCAAAGCTGCCTCTGGAGAGCCAGCCCCTGCCCGCAGCCGGGGAGCAGGAAGCCCCCTTGGAAGCAAGTGCCTCCCCTCTTGGCTCTGCAGCGAGGAAAAGGCCGAGCTCTGGAGATGTGCTGGAGGAGGGGGGGAGCAGGGGGCACACCTGGCTGGGGTGGGCGTGCAGGGCCAGTGGCCACAGAGGCACAGAAATGAGCGCACGGTGGAGAAGACGATGGCAGTGGAGCATGTGCCAGGGGGAGGAGTGAGAGCAGAGGCAGGGAAAAGGTGGTGGCAGCCCCGGGGGAGCAGGGTGGATGTGGCAGCGTCCTCGGAGACCCCGAGGCACCATACTAGGAGACCCCAAGGCAGAGAGGTCAGGGCACAAAGGGTGGCTGTAAAAAAGAGAAGGAGCTTGGTCAGGATGGGAGGACGCAGGGAGGTTACTAAGTCAGACCTGACAAGGACGCTCTCCCCGAAGGGAAATGGGTGCCAAGGGCAGAGGAGAGGATGGAAGCAGCACCAGGTGCCTGGGAGAGCACAGATGGGAACAAGGAGGAGGAATGGGGAGGAGAAGAGCATGGGGATGGTGTTGTCCCACCCCCCAGGTGGGAGAAATGTGGTGCTGGGGCATGAGGCAGACGCTGCGGCTCGCAGGGAAGCGCTGCCAGTGCTGCGGACATGACATCCACCTCCCACCCTGTCACTGCCCGGGGGACACCGCTGGGACTGAGCAGGACTCTCAGCTGTTATTCCATTGTTCACATTTGAGCTGAACAGAACCAGAAAATCGCAAGAAAAAGGTTTAGCTGGGGAATCTTGTTAATTAACAGCCGTGTTCATATGACTCTACAAAAGGGAGGATTATGAAATTATCCTAAAGAACTTAACATTAGAAATAAAAACAGGCACTGACACACTGCTACTTGTTCCCTAACATAATCACCATAACAGAACCATCAGGGAATGAGCAATGAAATGGAAAGCAACATTTCAGATCAATAAAAAGAAATACTTCTGAAAAGAGCTAAGGCAAGTAGAATCCAAAATCTTAGAAACTTTCAAAACCTTAAAAAAGCTCCCCATACGCTAATAAAAAAGGTTTGCACAGAACACCTCCCCATTTGTTTCTAACACACTACCAGAGGGTAGTGCAGAGATCAAACCAGGATTTGCTTATGGCCCCACAGTGACCAGTAAGAATGATGTTAAATACGACCCTCGGCTCCTGAAGTCACCACTGTGGCTGGAAGCAAGGAGAGAGTGGGCAGTGGAAGATGACTCTTAAGTGACCCAAGCTTTTGTAAATGTCCTTCAAAACCAGTTGCTGTCAGAGTCTGGACTGCACGGACTGTGATGGTTTTTAGAAGCAGTAAGAAGGTACATCTGCAAGTACGTAAAATGGAGGAGAAACTAACGGTGTGAAAAGGTGACTTCACTCTCGGCGTGCGGTCCCTTCCTGCGAGGTGTCTCTTATGGCTGATGTCAAAGGGAGGGCACTGAATTAATTCCAACTGCTATGCCAGTTTTCCTCCTGATCCCCTAAGAGGCAGGTGATGAGAACTGGTGTTTGAAGGCCAATATGCTCTGAAGAGGAGAACAGGCCGTGGGAGCAGGGCTCTGTGAGGTTTTGGGCTGGTGATACCCTCACTGAGAAAGCAGAACGAAGCACAGTCACTACTGGTACAGGGAGAGCTTTAATACAGTCCTGAGTAACAGGCTCTGACAAGCTCTAGGCAACCCTGCTTCAGCAGGGGAGTTGGACTAGATGATCTCTATGGTCCCTTCCAACTCTAAAAATTCAGTGAAATAAAAAGCCGAAGAGCAATTCCAACATTGCTGCTAATTATTTTGTCCTTTTTTAGTAGAAAAGCCATTTTCAACATCTTAAGATGATCTGCTGCTGTTGTTTACTCTTTTTTTGGGGGCCACTTACAGAGCAGAGCTAGGCACCTGTATGGAGGTGAGTGAAATGCTAAGGTGAAGGGGCAAAGCAGATGCACAGAAGTGAGATGTCCTCTCACTAACATCCACGTGCGTCACGTTCACGTACATTTTTCCTCTCTCAGAACAAGCTTTTATCTTTGAGAGTTGTGTTTAGTGTTTTGTTAATACCTGGAAATGACAAAGAGCTTATCCTTAATAGGCAGCCGGATTCTCTTCCTCATCTTAGAGGCTGATGCACAAGGCTGGAGAGATCCAAGGTTCAATACAATTATATTTCATTTCTCTGTGCTCTTCTATGGAAAGCCATGTGGGATACATGTCAAATTGACCACAATTGTACTGTTTGTACATAAAATGCGAAACTACTGTCTCTTAATTTTAAAGAAAGTACACTTTATCCCTACCTGTCAGAGCTACTCTCTGTAATTGCTTGTAAGCCAATGGTCTCCTGTGAAGGGCCCAAAATCAGCCTTTGTGACAAGAAGTTGGTACCAGTGGAATGCCACTGCCAGCCAGGACCTTCGCTGCTCTCTGTACAGTTCCACCAAGGAAATACAGTACAACTCCGTGCATGTAACACTAAATCTGGTTCTGGATTAGCTGAGGCAAATGGGCAACGTCTGTGACATTTCAAGGGACAGGCGGGTGGTGACGGGGCCGTCTCCCAGGCCAGGGGACACTCAGACACACCAGCAGCCAGAGGCAGAAGTTTTCCACCGTGCTCAGCTGTGGCCGGTCGGGGTGCCGTCAGAGAGAGACACGCCATGGAGGTTGGGCTGTCATCGTGTCCCAGGATAGATGTGAAGTCACTGGAAGGGATCAGCAGCCGGGGAGAAGCCTGCTCGGCGTGGCTGTGTCACCTTTTGTGGAAATGGCTCTGCGTGTGCTTGGCAATTGGACAGACACATCCTCAGGCACAACTTACCTCTACCAACACAAGTACTAGAACGCAAAAAATCCGCCTCTTCCCAAATATCTCAAGCCAATGTTCCACCTTCAGGACAGAGATTTAGTTCAGGGTCTAGAATTTGGTGAAACACAATCTAAAACCTTGAAATGTTTCTGCCCTTCTCCTTAAGTGCAGATGGAATGGCTTTGCACATGACACGTTCACACGTGCTGGCTTGATGGTCTCCAGTATCAGCTAAAATAAAGGTGAGGTGATGGCACTGTACTCCTAACAAAGGCTGGTCCTCCTTCTCACAACTGAGATGAACACTCAGCAAGGTGTTACTGCCTTTACAGAGCAGGGCATTCACTCACCTCCCTCAGAGACAGCATTGCCTGGTACCTGAAGGAAACTGAGCCTCTGCCTTCCCAGGGGGTAAAAGATACCATCAATTAAAGCAGTTACGCACAGGATTGCTCTGATTCTACCAGCAATTGGCCTCTACGATTTCACATCTGCTGTGCAGAAACCGCTGCCTTTTGCCACGAGGAAATGGCTGGAGCCATCAGTCTCACTCCTTGGCAAGTGCTGTAAGTCGTGCACAAGACACTGCTGCTTTTCTGACAATGATGCCGTAAACATGGACTAATATAAACCAAAATTAGAGATAAGCTACAACTTACCTGTCAATAGCTATTTGAATAATGCTTTCAGACTGTAATTACTTTATACTCCTTTTATGATCAATTTTGGTTTTATTATCTAACCATAATACTTGCATAAAACTGAGAAAACACTTTGCATTTGAATTATGTGAAGAAAAGTGTTTAAATTCGGCTCAACAATCAACAAATCAACAAAAGTGATGGCCTTTAAAAAGACTATTTAGCATGACAAATGTCGGTAAATCTTAATTTTTATTTCCTGCTCTGAGCAGAAGAGGGTCCCCGGGCCAGTGGCGCTGAGGCAGTGAGGAGCAAGCAGAAGCTGAGTTTGGGAGGGGTGTTAGGAGCAGGAGTGACCGCCTGGAGCCCGCAGAGACAGAACTGGACGTACCTTTTCAAGTAGGTAGAGACGTAGGTGGTGGGTGCACCAGAATGAGGAGCTTCGTTTGCCTTGGATTCATCCCTCCAGGGCTGGCGGGTGTAGGAGCCGCTCCGCACGAGGTTAACGGCCGACTCTCTAACGCAGGAGAGAGCACGAGGTTTGTTTAGAAAAACTTTTGGAGTCTCCTCTACAGTTCCAGAAGACAAACCCTTCCCTCTCTCCTGGCCCTATCTTCATATTGCTTTACAATCACCAGGTGATGCAGTATTTTGCATAAAGAGCAATGAGATCCTTTCCAGTCAGAAAATTTGCAATTGGAATTCAAATTGTCCACAAAAGTAATTTAACATATTAAACAATGTCATTTGATATTCTCTCTGCCGTCATGTATCAAACAACACTGCATAAATGGACAGATATTGCAACTGCAGGGGAAGTTTTTCCTCTCTGAGGTCTCCAGGCAATGACAGGAAAGCAATTCCTACGGCAAACCCTTCGCTATACTTGGCAGAAAAAACCAACAAACAAAATATTTGGCAATATCTAAAACTATTGTCAATAAATTACTGGTAGTCCTGCTTATCACAGTTATCTGAAATCAGGGCTCCTTTTCCCGACACACACTTTGGCAGCATGTCCTGCTCTTCCCTGGTCTTGGACAGGACCTCGAGCTGGTAATGCAGCACAAACCCATTCTCTCCTCAGCCTACAATTATTTTCCATTTCTCAATTGCCGTGTCCATGCTGATGCCTTTTCAGACACCTGTGGGTTCCACGAAGTGAAACTCAGCTGTTCTGAAAGGAAAGAATACTGGGAAAAATCTGTACTGCACAGTGCATCTGGGCACCATCTGCTCACGCAGGGCAGTGCTCAGCCCCTGTGTCCCCAGGCGCAGGACGCTCCCGGCACTCAGCAGGAAACGCCGCTGCCAGAACCGCTCAGGCTTATCATTTACACACAAATTGTCTGCTAAACTCCAAATCACAGAGACTGGCTGAGACTAAGCAAGAACGCAGCAGGGAGGTTCCAGCAAAAGATCAGCAGAGAATCTCCCACTGTGCTGAAATCCTCCCGGGGTGGTCATCAGCCGGGACCTCGTTCCAACAGCCACACTTCACAGCGATTCTCTGTGCGTGCCCTTCTGGCACTGCTGTGGAAAGGGCTGGAAATGAGGCTAAACTCCAACTTTACTCCTTTTAGCACAAACCCTGAAGAATCTGTTTATAGAGATCAGCTTCTCAAGTTGAGATACCAGATCACAGAATCACAGAATGTTATGGGGCTGGAAGGGACCTCTGGAGATCGTCCGGTCCAACCCCCCCTGCCAGAGCAGGGCCACCCAGAGCAGGTCCTACAGGAACATGTCCAGGTGGGTTTTGGATGTCTCCAGAGAAGGAGACTCCACCACTTCCCTGGGCAGCCTCTTCCAGGGCTCTGCCACCCTCACAAGAAAGAAGTTCCTCCTCAGGTTTAGATGGAACTTCTTATATTCAAGTTTGTGCCCATTTCCTCTTGTCCTGTCCTGGGCACCACTGAAAAAAGACTGGCCCCATCCTCTTGACACCCTCCCTTTAAGTATTTATAGGTGTTGATCAGATCCCCCTTCATCTTCTCTTTTGGGATATTTATCCCATTTATACTCTGGTTCTGTCCAGGGGCAACTACACATGTTCCCTGTAACACCAGCCCCTGAGTGGGAACGGTTCTGTTCAGGAGAACTCACAAACTGGGTGAATCAAGAACTGGCAGATATGTGACCAAAGGGACAGACAGGGACTTCTGAGCAAGTGACAGCAGCACGAGTGTAGGTGCCAGGTACAAAATGAGGCACTTGCATATAAAAGGGCACAGTACACATAACTCCAGTTTCCTGCTGGAGCCCATGTATGTTTGAGCGTGGGGCCGGGGAACCAGCCTGTTACTGCTCACCTGAACAAAAAGCAACTACCACAGCTCTAGAGATCAGAGAGTGAACTCCCGTGTGCTTGGGACTGCTGAGAAAATATATATAGCATGGATATAGGAAAGAGGTATTCCAGAGGAACTCCCGACATCAGGATCTGAGCATTAAGGTCAGTCTCACCTGTTTTCTTTCTCTTCTATATCGCTCGTACTGCTCAGTCTCCTGGGGGCTATTGTGGCAAGATAGCTCTTGCTGTCCTTATCCTGGAGAAGCAAAAGAAGCACTTCAGCTGTGCAGCTCTTATACTTCAGCATGTTTGGTGACAACTAAATTCATGTGCAAATTGCTTCAACTAAAAGAGCACCCTCCCCTCTAAGGACAGCTGGTTTAAGGCATTTTCTTGGGCAACACACACCACAGCATAAAAGTACTACTCTGAAAATGATTTCCTGAACAGCCCACTAGTGAACAGAAGCAGCTTCTAACTACATCTACTTATAAATCATAAAATCATAGAATAATGTGGGTGGGAAGAGATCTTTAAAGGACCATCTTCGTTGGATCATCTAATCCAACCCCCCTGCAGTGAGCAGGAGCATCTTCAACTTGGTCGAATTGCCCAGAGCCCTGTCCAACCTGCCCTGGAATATTTCCAGGAATGGGGCATCGACCCACGGGCAGCAAAGTTAGAGCTACTGAACACACGGGACAGGATTCACAAATACAGCTGGTGGATACAGGAGGAATCCACAGAGGTGACAGTGAAGGAGAATTTCCACTGCAGGTATGTGCTACTGGCTGGATTAGGTATTTTCTGGTAAGGAATGGGCCATGCCAGACCAGCAGCAGTTCACTGACAGCCCACTCCAAAGTGAGCAGGAGTGAGGTCAAAGGGGCAGCAAACTCCAATTCTGCAAGACCAACTGACAGGAGTAGTTTTCAAATGATAGAAAGAAAAAGAATGAAAGAGACCTAAGTTTGTTATGGATACAAAATGCAGCAATAACTCAAAACGAAAGGGAAAGGGTCTTAAACCTGTGGGGTAAAGTCTGCTCAGCTGGGATGCGCTAAACCATCTTTGGTGTAAGCCAAACCTTTTCTTTGTTGTCTAACAACGCAGATATCCGAGGACTTGACGAAGAGCGATAGATGGAAGAAGTCTTATCTCTCTGTGCCTCACGAGTAGCAGCGACTTCACTCAACATGTTGTGGCTGCCAGTCTTCCGCAGCCCCAGCCGCCACGAGGACGGGGACTCATCCTTCTGCTCGTCTGACTTGCTGAGCCAACTGAACTGGAGAGAAAAAGGGACATTTGGAAGAAGTGAGAGCACTGCAAGGCACAGCCTAAGTTCTGAAAGCGCTTCAACAAGCCCCATTTTTCACTTGTAAGATGGAGTGGCTTTGATTTCCTGCTTAGCTTTAATTACAGGACACAGCTCAAGGTGAACTCAGAGGGATGCAAACTGCTGTAGTGCCCTCATCCCCAAGGACAGACGATGAAAGAAACCTCCTGTCATTGTGCAGCTCCCGTTGCCGACACAATGCCCTCCTCCAGCTTTGCCCAAAGAATATAAGGAACAATGAAGCTTTTATTAGCACCCGTTTAGGAAGGTGAAATTATTCAGTAAAGGCAGAAAACCAAAAAAGTAATCAACTCTTTTGGGACTAGCTGCAAATGAGCCCTTACACAGCTCAAACTGGAGAGAGTCCAGGAGAAGCCATTAAGATCAGGGAGCTGGAGCCTACAACACGTAAAGGGAGAGACTGAGGAAACCTGGCTTGTTTAGCATGGGAAAGGGAAGGCAAAGAAAGGATTTAAGTGCTCTGCTACTTGGAGGGTGGGGTTTATAGAGGATGTGGAACCAGACTTCTTCTCAACAGTCTACAGCCAAAGGAGAAGGAGGAACAGACACAAGTTCCAACACGGGAAATCCCAACTGCCGCGAGGGAAGACGTACCTCCTGGCGGGAGCGATGCTGCGCTGGGACGGGGAATGAGACAGTGGGGCATCTCCATCCTCAGAGATGTTTCAGTGCTCAGCTGAGCTCAGGCAGCTCAAAGCAACATGAGACAGGCTTGAAGTTGGCCCTTCTTGGGGCAAGAGGCTGGACTGAAGGCTTGCAGAGGCCCGTTCTAGATTAAACCTCTCTACAATCAGGTACCTGCATATTCTATACATACCACAGCATGGGCCTTCCTGCTTTCTGTGACATGATGTGCCACCGACAAGCATATATTATTCCTCAAATATACAACTGCTTAAATGTACAACTTTAGTTCTAGTTACCAAGTCTTACAAAAAAAGATGCTTCCTGCCACCCACGAAGGGAGCCTGGGCACCGCAGGAGATACTGCGGAGTTACCAAGTCTTACAAAAAGATGCCTCCTGGCACTCACAAAGGGAGCCTGGGCACCGCAGGAGATACTGCTACAGAGACAGAGGCTGAACCCCGAGTTGTAGGGGAAATGAAGCAAACAAAACATTAGGGATTATTGGGGAGAAACAGAATATGAAACACAACAGCATTACGCCTCTGTGTTACTGCAGGGCATGATCACACCTTTGGTATCACACACAGCTCTGCTCCACAGCTGGAAAGCAGTGTAGAAGAAGGGGAAGAGATTCAGAGAAAGGCAACAAGAATGAGCAGAGCAAGAGAGCTGCTGTATGAGGAGTTATTCAGTGTCAGGAGTCTCCAGGCTGAGATATCACCAAGGGACACAAAATCCTCAGTGGCACAATAGAAGGGTGAATAAGGATCAATTATTCCTTGTTCCTTCCCATAAAGGAACGGGGGGCAGCAAACAACACACTGTGGGAGGTGTGGGAAGCTGTATAATATATAATTAACTGAAGAACCCTTTGCCACTGGACATTATAGGATCCCAAACATTATGGGCACTCAAAAAGTGACTGCACAAATTCATAGAGGAAAAGTCTAGCAGGGGGTGCTGAATACAAAAAGTACAAGTTCAGCAAGTCCCTGAAATGTGAATTGCTAGAAGGTGGGAGAGAAGTCTCCAGAAAAGTCTGTCTCCTTCAGTACCTTTTCATGGTCACTGTCAAGGGCAGGACACTGGGACAGACCAGGCTGTTGGTCAAAGCTGATACAACCATAATTATACCATATTCTACATAACACATTCTGACATTATCCAGAATAAATGAAGCTACTGGGGAGCTCTGCCCTCAAACCCATTGACTCAAGACTGCAAAGATAAAATTATCACTGCAGTATTTTAGCAGTGTTTCTTATCTAATGTTATTTTAATGCAGATGCACAGAGTTAATCTCCTGTACTCCACTAATTCCAGCACTTCCAGTCTGCTGAGCTCCACAGCTGATGCTTCAATGTCGTTTTGACACTTTCCTCAGAGAAAGCTCAAATGCTGTCTGTAATTTCTGAACACCATCAGAACAGCAAGTATTAATCACTCCACTAACGGAGGGCAGCACAAGCACTCCTATTTTCCCATATAAACCCCAAGCTGACAAAGAGTTACAGAAGAATCAAACATGTAAGAGAAGGTAAAGTGGCTGATCTTAAGTGGTTGAGGTCAAACTAACAACTGCTGTGTATGCAGGCCCTCCTCTACACCCAAACCGCCTAAGTCTGGGTTAAACAGCTCAAATGAGTGAGAACAACACTCTGCAGCTGTGAAAAGGTGAACAGAAGTGCTGACACTTCCCAGTGCCCTTCTGCCTTTAACTCCTCCCCTGCTATGTCGGCCTGAGCCCAGCAACGCCCAGAGGGGCTCTATTTCATTGGGGCTCTATTTCATTGGATCTGGACAAGAAGTTAGACATAGCAGCATGTCAAAAAACCCCAAAACTGTGACTAAGGAAAAAACACTTTCCCTCTAACATGCCTCAGAGGTTGGCAAGGAGCCTGTGTTGTACAGTGTCCTCCAGATTCTGGTGCAAAAAGAACCCAGAAGCACAAGATCCCAGCCCCCAGCAGCACACAGAGTCTCCTGGTGCCATCGAGCTGCGTGACGTGAGAGCTGGAGAATTCAGATAAGATTTCAGTAATGCTACTTCACCTTTAAAAAGCTTTCATAGCCCAGCTATCTAGTCAGATGCAAACTTTATCCTCCTCGCTCACTGGGCCGAAACATCACCCCCCTGAATCAACTGAGCCTGGCACGTCGGAGGGAATTCAGATGACGATGCCAAATTCACTGCTGATGCACCAGCAGGAACCAGCTTTGGTGAAAGATCTGCCGGTCAGAGACTGGCATCGGCTACCTCAGAACTGACAGTGACACACAGCGGTGGTGGTAAAGCAGGGTGAACAGCTCAATTTGCTTCAGAGGGTGAGAAGTTCAAGAGGAACCTTATCGTACAAACACCATCCTCTGTGCCAGTCCTCTACTCTTGTGAACACAGCATCTTTACCAAAATTGCGTGCTATCATGCTTCACATCTTACAGCTCCTCTGAAAATTGGTTTCAGAGTGTCCACCTACTGCTTTCGAGCTCTGTTGGGAGTCCCCAGCGATTCCAAATTCACTTACTCTTCTGGCAGATGCAGTGAAGGAGTTGGGCTCGGGTGGTGGCATTTGCTCAGTGATGCTAGGCCTGCTGTCATGGCTGGAGTGGTTGGCAAAGGGCTCTTCCTTCCTTTCTACAATTTTAAACAAGAAGAGAAACCAAATGTTTCAGTATCACACCTCCAAGGCCCTCCTTTCCAGGCACAGCAGGCGCTGACTCTCCAGCTCCGACGGAGACCCTGTGTGTGCCACGGCGAGCCAGGGCCTCCTGCAAGGAGGCTTTTCTGCTCACTGAAAAACACCACGGAGACATTTGCCAGGCAAAGCTTTTGAACCTCATCCCCACGGACAAGCGAAATATTTGCAGAAAGCACCTTAAGGAGGAAAAACAGGGTTTTGGTTTGTTCACAACTTTGTTTCCTCTGAGGGATTGTTCCTCCCTCGATTGACGCGGCAAGAGCACAACACGTCACTCCCAGCACGGTACGTGTGTGTGTTACACACGTGTTACACAGCACGTGTCCCTGCCGCTGCTGGGCACCATCACGGAACTGCTGCAGGCGCTCATGCTGGTGGGCACAACCTCTGCTCTTCTACAGCAAAATCCATTTTTCTACATGAAGCTAGAACTCATCCCCCAAAAACCTCTTTACCAGGGCTGACAGCAAGCTACACAAACACCGTCACAGAATCACAGAATGGTCAGAGTTGGAAGGGACCTTGGAGATCATCGAGTTCCAACCCCCCTGCCCTGGGCAGGGACACCTCCACTAGAACAGGTTGCTCCAAGCCCCATCCAGCCTGGCCTTGAACCCCTCCAGGGATGGGGCAGCCACAGCTTCTCGGGGCAACCTGGGCCAGGCTCTCACCACCCTCTCAGGAAAGAACTTCTTCCTCATATCTCATCTAAATCTCCCCTCTTCCAATTTAAAACCATTCCCCCTTGTCCTGGCACTACACTTCCTGACAGAGTCCCTCTCCAGCTCTCCTGTAGCTCCCTTCAGACACTGGAAGGCTGCTCTAAGGTCTCCCCGGAGCCTCCTCTTCTCCAGGCTGAGAAGGCTTTTCTCTGTCAGAGCTGCTCCCTGGCTCCCTGCTTGGGAGACAAGTGCAGTCGTCCAGTATTGTTTTTTTTTTTTTTAATCTATGCACCATGCTTGACATAAAATCATCCACCAGGAGGAGAGCAGGCAGAAACTCTGCCTCAGGCCACAGGTTCCATGGGCAGGAGGCCAGGGGGCTGTGAGACAGAGCATTTCCCACCACAGCCTCGTGCAAAGCGCCTGCGAAAGGATGCAGCGACCCCAGCACAGCAGCGTTCTCCTCCCGCGGCTAAGAGTGCCTCCCCCAGGCACGGTTTTATAAAAACAAAGTCATTTTCAGTGCAAGCACCCAACGAGTACTAGCACATGAGGTATATGCAGCGAATAAATATCCTTTATTCCATATAAAACACAGTTTGGCACGGAGCATCTGTGAGGATGGCACCTTGGAGCGTGGAGATCAATCTTTCTGAAACAACTGTTCTCATCCCTGGAATACAGGATTCAAAGGACACGGAAAACAGAGAGGAGAAAGCCAAGGGAAGCATTTTAAAATTAGCAGGGCTGACAGACCCAGAGCTAAAGAGACAAAGATGTATCTCCCCCAGGGAGTCTGTGTGGTGCTGCAACCTCAGCCACTTTTCCCTCTCCTTGTGTTATCTCAGAACTTCCACCACAGTCCCCCAGACACAGAACCCCACTCCTGGAGCCCAGCTCGCAGACGTGCTGCCCTTTCCAACAGCCCCTTCAGGAGGGGGCAGTAAATCACCCATTTCTCCCCCAGGGCCTTGGCATTCGGCACTCTACGGCCATGCACAGACCAAAAATGACACAGGTGGCATTTGCTGGATTCTTGAGAGTGAAGAGGCCCCACCTGGAACAGTGGGACCAGTTCTGGGCTCCCCAGTTCCAGAAGGACAGGGAACTGCTGGAGAGGGGACAGCAGAGGCGACAAAGATGATGAGGGGCCTGGAGCATCTCCCTTACAGGGAGAGGCTGAGGGACTTGGGGCTTTTGAGTCTGGAGAAGAGAAGGCTGAGGGGGGATCTGATCAACACCTATAAATACTGAAAGGGAGGGTGTCAAGAAGATGGGGCTGGTCTTTTTTCAGTGGTGCCCAGGGACAGGACAAGAGGGAATGGGCACAAACTTGAATATGAAAAGTTCCACCTGAACATGAGGAGGAACTTCTTTCCTGTGAGGGTGGCAGAGCCCTGGCAGAGGCTCCCCAAGGAGGTGGTGGAGTCTCCTTCTCTGGAGACATTCAAACCCCACCTGGACACGTTCCTGTGGGACCTGCTCTGGGTGGCCCTGCTCTGGCAGGGGGTTGGACTGGATGGTCTCCAGAGGTCCCTTCCAACCCCATGTGATTCTATGATTCTGTCCTTCTGTGAAGAGGAGAATCCTGGACGTTGCAGTGGGGGGAGACAGACCCGACAGCCAGCAGGCTTCATGGGCTGGGCTAGACGGTGGCTGGTAGCTTGTCCTGGAAGTTCATAGCACACAGGTCAACTTTTAAGCCTAATTAGAAGGGCACAAGCTGCAGTGGCAATGAGAGGCTGGAGAGAGCTCAGCTGTGAGCAACGTGACCCAACAGAGCCAACTGCAGAGGAAGGAGAGGCAAAAGGACCTCGTGCCAGCAGCGTGAGGGGCTGCGTCACCACGGGCAGCGGTGTCTTTAGGGGAGGAGCCCACATTTTATTATACTAAAATATGATACTGTAAACCAGCGAGGATTGTAGTTCAATCTGCCCCCAAAAAATTTGGTGAGACTGAAAATTTAGTTGCCTAATTTCGCATAAATATCATTTTTCTTAATGTCTTTTTTCGGAGTGTGTGTGTGTCTTTTTATTTATTTATTTTAAACACTGAAAGCTTTCCTGACCTGCTTTAATTCACAATAATAACAGCACAGATAACGACCGTAGATTTTTATACTGATCTTTCTCTTTTTTAGATACAACCCGATGCCAAATTGTTAATTGTCCTCAAGATGAATAAAATGGCATTAATGCACTTTGTTTCCTTTGTTTGAAGAACACAAATTTCTTACAGATTGTAAGAATCATGGTACTCTCCAGAGCACTCCAGCGATTTCACTGCTCATCTCTTTGAATTTCTTCTCCTCCCACAGTCTCTGCAAATTCTTCAAATTTATCACAACCTGAGACCCTTCAGAACATCCCTCAAAATAAACTTGCCCCTTCTGCTTTGTCCCGCCTCATGCTCAGCTACCAAAGGAGCTCAATTTTTTTGATTTAAAAAGATCACTCATCACAATATTTGGGCTTTTTTCCCCCCCTTCATCTGGACTTTGAACACTTTCGGAAAACACTTGTCTTCTATCTGTGCAGCGCCACTTAGAATCACAAAGCTACGTCAATGTTGCATCTCAGAAGAAAATGGAGAGGAATAAGGAAATAATTTCCATGTTTTAGAAAACTTGCCTCCTATATCCATCCAAGCATTTAAAATGTCTGGCAGACAAGGCATAATTGTTCTTATGACTGTGTTTGAAACTAGTAATACTGTGACATTTATAATTTTCCATGAAGAGCTATTTTCATCCCTACTTTGGAGTCCTCCTGTAACACGTGGGCTGATGTTATCTCGTGAACCTTGTTTTAAAGGGAGGACTGAAACTGTGCACCCCATTCACATACAGAACATCAGATGATGCTGTCTGCATCCAGCTGGACACATTCACGCTCATTTTATTAGAGATTTGAGAAGTTTACAAGGTAAGGTTTAAATTCAAATTGAAATTTCTGAAAGGAGCCACTAATCTCTCCAGGAAAGGAGAGCACAGGTACTGAGCCTGAAGCTGGTGCTTAAGCACAGAATCATGGAATTGTCAGGGTTGGAAGGGACCTCTAGAGACCATCCAGTCCAACTCCCTGCCAAAGCAGGGCTGCCCAGAGCACATCACTCAGGAGCATCCAGGTGGGGCTTGAAGATCTCCAGAGAAGGGGACTCCACACCCTCCCTGGGCAGCCTCTGCCAGGGCTCTGCCACCCTCACCCCAAAGAAGTTCTTCCTCAGATTGGAGTGGAACTTCCCATGGTCCAGCTTGTGCCCGTTGCCCCTCGTCCTGTCACTGGGAACCACTGAAAAGAGTCCGGCTCCATCCTCCTTCAACCCACCCTTTAGATCCTTGTCAGCATTAATAAGGTCTCCCCTCAGCCTTCTCTTCTCCAGGCTAAAGAGCCCCAGCTCTCTCAGCCTTTCCTCATCAGGGAGATGCTCCAATCCCTCCATCATCTCTGTTGCCCTACGCTGGACTCTCTCCAGCAGTTCCCTGTCTCTCTTGAACTGGGGAGCCCAGAACTGGACGCAGGATTCCAGTTGTGGCCTCCCCAGTGCAGAGCAGAGGGGGAGAATGACCTCCCTCCACCTCCTGGCCACACTCTGCCCTACGCAGCCCAGGATCCCATTGGCCTCTTGGCCACAAGGGCACATTGCTGGCTCATGGAAAGTTTACTATCCACCAGGACTCCCAGATCCTTCTCCTCAGAAGTGCTTTCCAGCAGGTCCATCCCTCACTGAATGCTTTTTGTCTTTGGTTTGTTTTAGCTCTAATGGTTTGAGATAGATTAGAACCATCCCTCACTGAAAGCTTTTTGTCTTTGTTTTTTTTTAGCTCTAATGGTTTGAGATAGATTAGAATAATGTGCTTTGCTGGGTGAATTATTTCAATAAAAAGCCCTGCTCTGGTTTTACACAAAATCTAATGCTGAGTGCTGTAGCACTTCTCTTGCTGAAGGCTCTGAGGCTGTTCCCCAACCAGTTAAACACCAGTAAGCTCCACTCCTTGGGGCCACGCACCAGGGAGGGGGGCGCTGGGCCAGTTCCTGCCACAGTGCCAAGGACTGGGCACAGCAGTACAGGGCTGCTCTCTGCTGAAACCGATTTACAGAGCAAATAAATGTGACTTCCTGCCACTGACTTTTCCCACTACTTTTCCTTGATTTAAAAGCCAAAAGAGGCTTTTAAAACCTGCTAGAGGCAACTACTGAAGAGAAAGATCTAGGGGTCCTGGTGGACAGTAAAATGACAATGAGTAAACAGTGTGCTCTTGCGGCCAGGAAGGCCAATGGTATCTTGGGTTGTATAGGGAAGAGTGTAGCCAGCAGGTCAAGGGAAGTCATTCTCCCCCTCTACTCTAAGAGGGACAGGGAACTGCTGGAGAGAGTCCAGCGTAGGGCAACAGAGATGATTCAAGGACTGGAGCATCTCCCTTATGAGGAGAGACTGAGAGAGCTGGGACTCTTTAGTCTGGAGAGGAGAAGGCTGAGGAGAGACCTTATCAATGCCTATAAGTATCTCAAGGGTGGGTTGAAAGAGGAGGGAGCCAGACTCTTTTCAGTGGTTCCCAGTGACAGGATGAGGGGCAACGGGCACAAGTTGGAACATAAGAGGTTCCACTCAAATTTGAGGAGAAATTTCTTCACAGTGAGGGTGACAGAGCCCTGGCAGAGGCTGCCCAGGGAGGGTGTGGAGTCCCCTTCCTTGGAGATTTTCAAGACCCGCCTGGATGCTCCTGAGTAACATGCTCTAGCTCTAGGCAATCCTGCTTCAGCAGGGGAGTTGGACTAGATGATCTCTATGGTCCCTTCCAACTCTAAAATTCAGTGAAATTCAGTGAAATTCAGTGAAAGATTATTTCACCGTGCTGCTGTCCTACCCAAGCAGCTTTTGTAACTCCCAGCTCTGCAAAGAGCAGCCAGGAGCCTCCCCACCTCTCGTACGGCGATAAACACCGTCACTGATTCAACTAGAACACAGGTGACAATTTTACTGGCACAAGAAGCAGGATAAAACTTTAAACTACACTTCTCTGCAAAGACTTATTTATTAGTACACTGGGATATAGGCTAAGTAAGCTGATGTTAGAAGTAGTTTAACCATTAAACACCTCATAGTCCAAGATCCATCTCTGTTTGCAGAAATATTAAGTACAAGTCTTGGCTTACTGTAAAATTAAGTACCTTTATTTAAACTTTCTGTGCTGCACATATACACTGTTTAAACTAATTAAGGAAGCTTAGAAATTATGGAAAAATGATGGGAGTAGGATGTCAGCAATATGCTATAATGTAAGGGCTACTGGGATTCGAGGTACTTAATCCTTATTTTCCACTGTGTTTTGCAATTACTGTACATCACAGCCAGAAAAAAGTTTCTCATCTCTATAATTACACAGAACAGCTCCAGCCCTTCACTTCATTTCTCTCATCCAAATACAACAGGCTGTTACCTTCCTACGTGTTCAATCGCTTTTCTACCATCCTGCAGTAACTGAGGTGTTCGTCCTGAAACTGCCCAACAAGAAAAAAACCTACTGGTTAAGAACAACCTATGGACAATGTGTTCTCTTCAGTTCAAGTAAGCTGGAAGTAGAAATTAAAATACTATCTGCTGCTTTTTTTTTTTTTTTTTAAATTATGCTGACCTGGGAGTCAGTATTTAGATTATTTTTTTAGTACAGCCAGCACAGAGTTCTCCATGTTCTCTGCATACACACTGGGAGGAAGACGTGCAGGATGTCTTTAACAACTAATCAAAAAGCCAAAAAAATAGCAGTTCTCAAACTCATCCCCTAATATTTCTAGGCTAATTATTAAATCCAAGAGTGCACTAAGTCTTACCTGATTCTTTTTCAGCATCTGACTCTGAAACTTCGTCTTCTTCAGCTTCTTCCTCTTCTTCAGAGCTGGAACTGCTGGAGTCCTTGTTCTCCTCCTCCGTCTCCATGGACTTCAGCGTGTCTTCCTCATAAAGAATCTTCTCTTTGCTGCAAGACACAGAAATTTTAAGGACTACCAGGCGAGTGAGTTATTTCTGAGTTCCACTTCTCAGGAACTCATAAACCATTTACTAGATATAGAACAAGTGAAAGGACAAAATCCATCTACAGACTCAACATCCCAGCAGTTCCAACACGGTTCATTTTCCACGGATTCCAATGCCAGTCTCACATTTCCTAAATTTACAAGGATTTCTCACTCCAAACAAATGTGGTCTCTTTTCCTGGTGCAACACAACCCGTCAGCTGGGCTGGGGGCTCCGTGCAACTGCAAAGGTTGGGACGTTCTCAGCCCAAACTCACCCTCACCATGAGCAGAAGTTTGGTGGGAACCAGCCCCAGCCCAACTCCTTGTTCTACCATTCAGTGGCTAAGTTAAGAAACAGCTAAAATTGTATTTAAGAAAGCTCAAATTTAAAAGAAACCATGAAATGAACATGAACAGCAGTAAATGCTGTTTCTAAACCCAGCTGGGGCCAGCTGACTGCTAACGGATGGAGCTGGTCTCCCATTACTTGGTGCGGCTTCTTTTCAATGAAGGGGAAAAAACTTACTTGGTGAAGAGCCTGCTCTGAGGCTTGCCGTTCATGTCGGCTTCAATTAGCTTATTCCTCGTCTCCTTCTCACTTCGCAACTGTCAAAAAGTCCAAGCAGATTGGAGAAAGAATGAAAAGAGACATCTTAGCAAGCCACCTCAGCACAACCTGATAATAACCACAGCATAAGGTCATCCCAACCTCGTTAGATGATAAATCATGGAATTATAGAATGGTTTGGGTTGGAAGGGACCTTCAAGCCCATCCAGTGCCACCCACTAGAGTAGTGACACCTCCTGCTAGACCAGGTTGCTCCAAGCCCCATCCAACCTGGCCTTGAACCCCTCCAGGCAACCACAGCTTCTCTGGGCAGCCTGTCCAAAACCAAGTGGATTTGTTTAAGGAGCCCATTCAGCAGCTGCACATCTGCAGGAGCAAGGGGTGTTTTGGACCAGAGCTCCACAAGGGCACAGCTACACCCCCAGCATGGCCTTGGACTCAAGCTGCAATTGAATAAAACCTTCAGAGAAGGTCTGATCCAGAGTCAAGTCCTGGCTCCCGGAGTCCTGCCCCACATCTGTCCATGCAGCAGTGCTGGAGGTTTGTCCACAGGGGTTTGTGTGGCCACGAATCCAGGCTCCATTCCCTTCAAATCTGCTGCCTCTGTAGCTATAGATATTGTGGCCTACCAGTGTCTGAAGGGAGCTACAGGAGAGCCAGAGAGGGACTATTTGTCAGGAAGTGTAGCAACAGGACAAGGGGGAATGGTTTTAAATTGGAAGAGGGGAGATTTAGATGAGATATGAGGAAGAAGTTCTTTCCTGAGAGGGTGGCAAGACACTGGGACAGGTTGCCCAGAGAAGCTGTGGCTGCCCCATCCCTGGAGGTGTTTATGGCCAGGCTGGATGGGGCTTTGAGCAACCTCTAGTGGAGGTGTCCCTGCCCAGGGCAGGGGGGTTGGAACTCAGTGATCTCCAAGGTCCCTTCCAACTCTGACCATTCTGTGATTTTATGATTCTATTATTTACTTGCTCTCAGAGGAAAGCATTCAAGGATGCCCTGCAAGGGTGGGTCACCTGGTCCATCTCACACGCCAGCCTAAGTGATCACACGAGGACACCTCTGATCACTGCAGCTATGGAAATACTGTGCCCAGAGGGCAGCAATAGGAATTCTGTCACCACTGAGGGACAAAACAATAACAACAACAAAAAAAAAAGTGTCATACCTTCTAGAAGAACAGACAGAATTGAGGTAGAAAAAGGGATGGCAATTAGAGGCTCGCTTTTAAGGCTGTCTCCTTTGTGTCACATCTAGCCTAGTTAATCTTTTGACAGGAGCTGACACCAGGCACAAGAAGCAAAAGCTCTGCAAATTCTGAATGTGGGAAAAGCTACATGGAGTTCAGCGAAGAGTGAAAATTTGGGGTATGGTGTGTCATTAAATAGAAAAAAGAACCCGGAGCACAGTAAAAGTAAGTGCAGGAAACAGCCAGCTCCATTCAGCGGGAATTCAGAGATCGGGGAAAAAACTCCAAACCCAAATCAAATGAATTGATTCCAGTGAACAAAATCCCCTCTTCTCGCCAGTAACAGCAGCAACTCTCGTTAGCAAGGATGGCATATTGTTCCACTACAAGCTTTAGATTAAAAAAATATCTGATTTGAGAGCCATTTTGAAAGTGAAATAACATTGAGGAATGTCATGGAACTGCCTTTTTCATCCTTAACAAATATAAGTTTTCTATTTTAAGTGATAAAAATGGCACATGATAAACACAGATGATAAAATGGCATTTCTATTAAAAACATCATATCCACTAAAAAAAGCAGAAGTGTGATGAAATCTGGATTCATCTCTTCTTCCCAGTCCCACCGCAGGTTGCCACACTCATTGCAGGAAGCCTTTCCCCACGCTGCTGTGCAGAGCCCACGGGGGGGTCCGTCCCAGCGCCACCAGCCTGGAAAGGGGCTGCACCACCCAACCCAGAGCCTCGGCCTGGGTCTCCTTCCCTCTTCTCCTGATGAGTGCAGTTATCTGCAGAACCCCGGGGTAGGGAGGTAGGAGGAAATCCAAAATACAGCCCTGATAGTATTTATCAACACCTCATTTAGGAAGAAGCTGATTAATTTTTAAAAAGTTTCTGTGGCTGCTGAGGCTGCTATTTAAGGCTGACAGCAGCTGGGTTGTGATCAGAGCTTGAGCTCTACCACCCACATTGTCAGTTCCTCAAAATACCTTCCTGGGTTTTACCAGCAGTGTTCTCATTATGTCTGTTTCTGAATCCAACATTTTAAATTTACTTTCTGATTTTTTTTTTTTTTAAAGGAGGTTGGTTTGGTTTTTGGAAGCACCCAATTGAGATAATTAAGTAGAACAAATGAAAAAGGAAAAAATGCAATCAGAAAAGCAAATTTCTGGCTTGACGACTGACTTTACTTTGATCAAGATATATTTTTGCTTTCCTATTTTATGCCAACTTTCTGCTTATGACCCCTTCCAATATCTCCATTGCATTATGAAATGGTGATTTAATACGGTTTTGAAACCACCATTTTTTTAGTCCAGCATTCCCCGAAGTTTATAATTTCTTCTGACTCAATCTCCCTATTGAAAGGCCGACACGGGAACATCTCCTTCTCAGCCTTGACAGCGTATTTCCTTAGATGCAGAGATGAAGCTGACTTGGGTAATCACTCATTAAGAAAAGAGCAGGTTGGTGCTGGAGTTTGGTTAGCTGGAGCCAGCTAACAAACAGCTACAGAATAATTCCAAAGATGAACTATACATTCCTTACCAATTCACATAATTCTGCATGTCAGCAAGCTACTGACCTCCTCGATGCAGTCACCCAGTTTTCTAGATTTCTAACTATTAAAAATATTGTTGTAACTAAAGATTCCACATGACTAACATAACAAACTAGCTGGGCCTCATCTCCATGCGTCTGTTGATGCCATATGTCCTGGAGAACACCCGTGGGTGAAGAGGTAATTGGAGAGGTGGGAAATGATCTGCCGGACACTCACCACAGTCTGTTTCTTCTGCAGCATCTCTAAATGCTCCACCAGCCCCTCGTCAGCCACGTCGAACGGCGTTTGGCCCTGACGTGGGAAGAAAAGACAAGAGGATATCTGATACAGCATGGTGTTAATATTCAAAAAGCACTATTTAACAGTGAGGAACAAAAGGGAACGTGCTCCATGTCCTCCCTCGCAAACGCTGAGTAACGTACCCTGTTTGGCTCCAGAGCAGGGAGAGCCACGCGACAGCGATGGCAGCTTTATGGCTCAGTCCATGATTAGAGCAAACACAACCACGGAAGGGCAGTGCCCTGATTGCTGCTGCTCAAACCCAACAGCCAGCGCTGGTGGATTTGAGTTTCCAGGTTTCTAAAAAGGACACTTTTGTCCTGAGAAGGAATGCAATCACCCTGGTCTAGTCTATCGCCCTGTACTCGAACTTCCTAAAAGACTGCAATCTCAGCAGGTCAAAAAATTTGGGAGCCATTTCTACATCCATGGGCATTTACAAAATAAAACAAATGACAAAAATTACTTTGGCGCATAAAACAAGAAATCAGTTAGATTTTCACTATAACTGAAGTTAAAACAATCATTTTATCATCAATACATAATGAATCCTGATGGCTGGGGCTCCAATAACCACAGGCTGCCTCGGCCATCTGACCTAGAAGGTAACAGTCCTTGACTGGAAAGAGCAGGTCATGCAGCAAATATAACTGTGTCTGCTGCTTTTCAACTCTGGCACACGGGATAACCCACACACGTTCTGAGCTCTTGGGAAAAGCACCTGATGGCACTTCAAACAAAAAAGATTCCCTGTATTTTTGGATGCCAAAGAGCTCACCTCGCTAAAAGAACATCAGTTTCCATATGGACAGATGGACTCACACAACTTGGTGCCACATTTCTCCTATCACATTCCCCTGCTCTCGCTCCCCGGTGCCGTTCTGACCACATACAACTTCACTTCCTCCTCCAGAAGCAGCCACGGAGCAGCCAAATCTTACCATCTCTGTCCTGAAGTTTAATCACTGATCTTTCCCAGTAATGCCTGAAACCATTTCTGCCTTCTGCCAGCCAGGAGTCTTTATTTTCTGAGGCTTTATAATGCTCCAGAGCACACAGGAGGAGAGCTCTCCCCGCATGACTCTGTCAGGGCGCTGGATCAAGCGGTGGGCAGTGGAGTCGATACCCACCTGGCTATAAAATGCACGGCAGAAGCTGTGCCAACCTCTGCGGGTACTGACCAGCTTGTTCCTGACGTCCATGTCACAGAGCGCCTCGGCCAGGATGGAGCAGGCCTCCTTCACCCCCCAGTGCGCGGCGGCGTGCAGCGGCGTCCAGCCGTCCTTGTCCTGCACGTTCAGATTGAACCCAGCCTGGATCAGGAGCCTGGGGAAAGAAAGGAGCAATATTGATTTCTGCTGCCTGAGAGTGACTTCTCGACACAGAAGAGGTCACACCACGAGCCATGGGGTAGGTACGTGGTTCACAATAACTAGAAGTTTCTTAACTTGTTTATTCACCTTGTTTATTCACTTTTCTTAACTTGTTTATACACAACATTCTACTCCATGTGCTCACAACTGGAAGAGAAAAGGGAATATCAGGAATATCATGCCTGTATGAGGACCAGCATGGCCAGCAGGAGCAGGGCAGTGATGGTGCCTCTGTACTGGGCACTGGTGAGGCCTCACCTCCAGAGCTGGGTTCAGTTCTGGGCCCCTCACCACAAGAAGGACATTGAGGTGCTGGAGCATGTCCAGAGGAGAGCCACCAAGCTGGGGAGGGGTCTGGAGAACAAATCCTACGAGGAGAGGCTGAGGGAGCTGGGCATGTTGAGTTTGGAGAAGAGGAGGCTGAAGGGGGACCTCATTTCCCTCTACAACTCCCAAGGGAATAATGACAGGAGCAGAGGAAATGGGCTGAAGTTGGGGCAGGGGAGGTTTAGATCAGATACTGGGAAGAATGATTTTCCTGAGAGGGTGGTCAGGCACTGGAACAGCCTGCCCAGGGAGGTGGTGGAGTCACCATCCCTGGAGGTACTTAAGAAACGTGTAGATGTGGCACCTCAGGGCATGGTCTAGTGCCCGGGATTGTTGGGTTGTGTTTGTTTGTGGGTGGGTGTGGGGGGTGCGTGTGTGTTGTGGTTTTTGTTGGGTTTTTTTTTGTTTGGGTGTTTGTTTTTTTTTTGTGGTTGGACTCGATGATCTCAAAGGTCCCTTCCAACCATGAATATTCTGTGATTCTGTGAAATGAAAAGTGACTTTGCTGTAGAACCTGCTGGAATCTGTCTAATTGATAAGGTTTCCTTTCAGCATGTCCTTAACTGGGAGAACACCTTAATTTCTAATCCGGCATCGGTGACCCAGTCAGAACTCTGCTCCGATGGACAAGAGACACCAGAGTGGCCCAGGCACCACCTCCAGCAGCTCCAGACCTGGAGCCAAGCACAGTGCCAGGCAGGAAAAGGACATTTGGTGACTGGGGCTCCCTCTTGGTTCTACCAGAGAACGAGGCCACACCGTAGGAAGGTCCATAAGGAGACAATGCCAGCAGGACTGCCAGGCGAGCAGCAGTCACATGCCTGTGATTGACAGATGAGAAGTTTCTAAGTTAAATAACCTACATTTGGGTTAAATAACCCAAAATGCATTTTTTTCAGACTAGTCCTAAAGCAAATCTTGCCCAAGTAACCGCCTGGGAAGAGCCTGGCACCATGAGTACTGCTGTGCACCTCCCACCCGCTCCCTCCTCTGCCTGCCCAGGGCACAGCCAGGCACAGCACCCGGGGCTCCAGTGTTTCAAACCAGAGGAGAGGCAGTTGTGGTCTGGAGCTTCAGAGACACACACACAACACCAGTACTTGGATCAGACTGGTCCCCCAGTGCTTGGATCAGACTGGTCCCCCAGTGCTCGGATGAAAGAACTGAGCGGCTCAGGTATCAAAACTGACTATTGTCCAAATCGCTTGAATATTGAAGAACATCCCAGGGGAATTCTGTAAGTCTGGTAAAACCACTACAGAAAATTCCCACTGTGGGAAATGCCACCATCCAGAGCCCCGTTTCTGCAGCACAAGGGAAACGCAGCACGACCCCAGAATGGCACCAACAGTTTTGGAACTCCTGCAGCTTTACACCGCCGCGTTACTGTGCTAAATAAAACACAGACATCCTGCGGCAGCGGCGTGCTTCTCGGTGAGAGAAACTTTAAATTAGGTGCTGACTTTCTGTTGATTTTCCAGCTGGCAAAAGGGAGGAACAGAGCTGCTAAAGGACTCAAGGTCACAGACAAATTCCACGTCTCATTTGAGAGTTAGCAAGCTCCTGGCTTTCAGCCCCTTTGGTGTAAGTCACTGAAGCTTTGTATTTGAACTTACAGGGTGGCCATAAAATACACAAGAGAGAAACAATGTCAGCTCTCCATGAGATCTGTTTATCGTTATAACAATTAATGCCAAGGAGTAGCTGTCCAGAACTAGTCACCCCCCGAATGCCGCCTGCGGTGATGGATACACAGCCCTGCACAGCACCAACACCTCAAATTCCCCAGATATTACATTTCTACTCCCCGTGAGCCATGTTAGATCAGTGTTCCTGGGCACGGTACAGGCACAGACAGCTCATAACTCAATTATAAGCTCTAATGAATGAATACAAACAGGAATCACGGGAACAACAAAATTACTAGAGCTTGGTAAGAAACAGCTCATACACATCAAGTCATGCCCCTTAAAACTATGAAATTAAGGACTGAGACAGAAGAATACTTCCAGAAAGGATTTTAATGTGGGCAATAGAGTCACCTTCCTGATGTTTATGCGCAGCTCCACTTGTACATAAAGAGTAGAGAAGAAAGCTTTATTGTTAGAAACTTTAATTTGACCGTATCTTATTAAAAATATTAATGCTTTATGGCCAGAAAACACTACATTGGGCAAGTTATACTCATAATAAGCTTGTTAGTGCCAGAGCAGTTGCACCAAGGAGCAGGAGGAGACTGTGAGAGAAGGGTGGACACCATTTCTCCACCAGACCAGTTGTGTAAACCGTGCTTGTGACTGTCACACAGTCTGTATTGTCACCTCATAGGCTGAAATCTGGCTTTTATCCCCTAATACAGTTTAACTTGCTAGTCCTAAAACTGTTATTCTAACAGTGAAAATTAAGCCTTCTAAGTTACATCTCAGTCTCTGAAAATCTTTCATTGCTTGAAAGACCCAGAGGTATGAAAGGGAATCCTCTGGTCCCTGTGCATTTCGAGGTGAGCCACTGTGGCCGGGCACATAAACCTACAGAGCCTTTTGAGAAACAGCAGCCTGAAAATCTCAGTATGAAACAAACTGCTGTCACCTATAAAGCTAGACGTGTTCCTTAGGAAAACCAGCCTTAATTCAGCAGCTCAGTCCTGGGAAGGAGCTCCTACCTCATGACTTCCGAATAGCCCTTTGCTGCAGCGACGTGCAGAGCGGTGGCTCCTGTTCGGGGCTGCTTTATATCTTCAATTCTCCCGCTGTTCAGCCACTGCCGGGCATCCTGCAGCATCTGCTGCTCCTCTTCTTTTCTTGCCAGGTCTAGGTCTACACCTAGGAGGGTGAAGCACAGAAGAAGAGATTATCAAGTGAAAGCTCTCATGTACTTGTTAAACTCACCCTCGGTTGCATTGGCTATACAACATTAGTAAACCATTTGTAATCTTCCACCAAAGAAAATCAGCAAAGGCATATTCTAGGAGTTGGGAGAACTCCTGCATCACTGACAGAGACTTCAAAGCTGTCTGACTCAAAAAATCTGAAAGTGGAGCTACTGGTTGCAAACCCACCCAACCAACTACGAGCTCAGCTGTGAGATATGGCATTCCAAATCTGCAGTGTCCTGATGGAAATAATAGCCATCAATAACAGCTTATCAAACTGAATTAAACTACAGTGAGAGTATAATTGACAGTGAAGATCTGGAGAGATGGTCCTAAGATGCCTCCTGCAGCAGCAGCATGACCCCAGCTGTGAGCTCACTCCAAATCCAGCCTGATCTCCAGCTGCACAGAGATCTGATCTCACCAGAGCCACTGGCACCAGGCTCTGCCAGAGAAATATTTAGTTAATTCCACTCAGCAGCAAACCACCAGATTCTGGCAAAACCAGACTCTAAATAATTTTGGGGATAGAAGGTTAAAAAAATTTACTCTGATGGTTTAAGAGACCTTATTAATGCTGACAAGTATCTAAAGGGTGGGTTGGAGGAGGATGGAGCTGGACTCTGTTCAGTGTTTTCCAGTGACAGGACGAGGGGCACCGGGCACAAGCTGGACCATGGGAAGTTCCACTCCAATCTGAGGAAGAACTTGTTTGGGGTGAGGGTGGCAGAGCCCTGGCAGAGGCTGCCCAGGGAGGGGGTGGAGTCCCCTTCTCTGGAGATCTTCAAGCCCCACCTGGATGCTCCTGAGTGATGTGCTCTGGGCAGCCCTGCTTTGGCAGGGAGTTGGACTGGATGGTCTCTAGAGGTCCCTTCCAACTCTGACAATTCCGTGATTCTGTGATTCTGAGATCTGCTTTAGATGAGTTGGATGAAGGAAGTTCATCAATGCACACACTGGTGTAACAGGGACACGGACTATGGGGCTTTGCGACAACTCGAGGGAGAAGTTTCCCACCCCAGGAAGCAACTGCTGCGACGTGGGTCGTGTCCATTGTCACTAAACCAGCAAGAGGCAAAACTGTCTTAGACTTGGTTTTGTTAAGTGGAGTTTTCATGCTAATGAGGCCATGTAAGGACAATCTATCCATCAGAAGGACAACACAGCTCCAGACAAGACTCAACAGACCAGGGCTCACTGACCCGGGAAAAAATATGAAGAAGAAGATGACAAATCTCAAAAATCAAGAAGGCTGTTGAAGAGCAACTGTCCCTGTGGATTAGTTCTTTCAGTGTAAGAATGACATGGTTCCTAATTAAATTACCGAGCGTTAGGTTTAAAACAGAACGAAAGAAAAGACTTATCACCACAGAGTCTGAGCTGTGAAACCCACCACTGCAGGAAGTTGCAAAGATGAGAAACACAACAGGCTTCAGAACGAGGAGTAGACAAATTGGTAGTTATTAAACATAATGCTCTATGTGCCAGGAGCTCCTTAAGAACACACACATGTCCGTGAAACAGAAAGCCATGGGGGATTCCTGAGCACACAGAAGCCCATCTGGCTCAGGAATTCCTTGGGGCAAAGCGGCCGGGGCTGGGAGAATGTTTGGGGGGGCACTGGTAGGCACTGGTCCTGTTGTCAGGGTCTGCAGCAGGCACCTGCCCACGGCCACCGCTGCAGGCAGGATGCAGGGCTGGATGGACACTTATTTAAAGTTTATACCACATGGGCTCGAGCAGTTATGATCCCTTTAAACTGTGTCAAAGGGAAGCTTCTCGGAGGAGACAGATGGTTGTTTCAGGGCATCTTAGCAGGATGCCGCTAATGTGGCGGAGCCATGGAAAAGCCAGGCAGGATCCCGAGGAGCGTCAGGCGAAATATCTGCAGCCGAGGCAGAATTACTGCCTTCATGGCCTGTAGGGTTTAATTCTGTTATTACCACGTGCAGTTCTTGATACCCACTTTAAAGAGAGACAAGTTACACTGACGTAAGGAAAGGATCTCCATCTTTTTGGGCATCCAGGGAAGCCTGACTGCAGAGAGGAGACGGGCACAGTTTGGGTAGCTTCGTAAAACAAACACTGGCTTCTTTTTAAATACATGAGCAGCCTAAATATAAGGCAGAAGGGCTATTTAAGCTTATTTCGAAGTGGAAGGAAAAGGGAAACAAAATAAGTATAACCTTGTCACAAATACCACTCGGCTACAAAGTTTCTGTTTGCCAGAAGGAACATGATCCTGCATCAATTTTCCAGGGGGAACACTCACACCAATAACAACTCACTCTCGATGGACGGCTACAAACTCACCAGTGGAACAGTAACACGCTCAACAAAATAGCAAGGGACTGATCCCTTCCTAACTGTACCTGAAAATAGCTTCAAAAGTAAAGTAACCGCCATGTGCCAAGCAGAATACGTGTTAGAGAGGACGGGACTCAATCCAGCCTGCAAACAACCCCACCACCACCCTGCACCCGTAAATAATCCGGACTGGAAAGAATCCTTGGGGGTCTCCAGCCCAAATCCCTGCTCAAAGGAGGGTAACTTCAAACCCAGATCAAATTGCTCAGAGCTGAAAGCAGCTGAGTTTCAACCACCTCCAATGACAGAGATTCCACAGATTTCTGGGGTCCCTGTTCCAACACTGTGCCACCTTCCCGGGAAACACTTCTCCATATACATATATATGTATCTATAGGCAGTTATGCAGTCAGAATGTCCCTTCTTCAAACCTATGACTTCTTCCTCTACTCCTGTCCCTTTGCAGCTCTGAGAGGAGTCTCCATCGCCCCTGTAGCCTCCCCCAAGGCAGTGAGGACAGCAGTTAGATCTCCCTGGCCACCTTCTCTTCTCAGGGCTCCATATCCATATCTTCTCAGGGCAGCCCATGGGTCTCAGGTCCTCCCTTCCCACATAGCTGACATAAACGCATCCTTAACAACACCATTGATGAACTTCATAAATAGGATTTAAACTTCTCACACCTACGTACAGACACCTCACCACTGGCAGATGAATTTCATGAGTGTGAAGAGAACTTGACACTGATGAAGCATTTCTTAATTTTAACACAAGTTACACTGTTCAGTGCCTTCTCCCAGCGCTGTTTTGGCAGGGACAGGACAGAGAGCAGCCCCTCAGACAGACACACCTGGAAGGGGAAACAGCAGGTGGGCTGCTGAAGAAGACTAGGGAAGGATGAAGATAAAGCAGGTCCCTCCAGACATGCTCATCTCCTGGTCCCTGCTCTTGGTGGGGCTGTAAATCTCACTTCTGTATTGTCAAATCTCAGTGAAACAGGACCTTTCATTGATATCAGAGGTGAGAATTGAATCTCACTTTAAAGGCAAACAGATCTAATGAATCGGATTTCAGCAGTGTGGTGTCCTGCTCTGAAGAACCCCAAGGACACTGGCTGCACACCACAGACCTCCTGTGGCTGTTCCACCATTCTGCTACCAAAGCAAACGTGTCTGCTGCCCGTGGGCCACATTTCAGATCTCTTCACCCACAGACAGCGAGGCAACAGAATTTTCTTAGAAGCTCTCAGAGGTCTGACTCTCACACAGCCAATCCCCATTTACCTTGTTTCTTCACTTGCTCCAGGAGCAGGTCCTTCATGGCCGCTTCCTCTGCGATGTCAGACGGGACTTCACCCTCGCTGTTCACAGCGGCCACGTTGGCTCCGTGACTAATTAAATACCTACGTGAACGAGAGCCGCATGAACGGATTAGACCTTGTGTGCAGGCTCCAGTGGAACTTCCACCATAAGTCAAGCAGCAGAACAAAATATCTGTCCTTCTCATTCAAGTTCAACGACCAAAAGAGCCTTTTATTCTTATCAAATTTCTAGACTGAAAAAGTTCATTGTTCATTGCCCTGGCCAGTGGCTCACAGGTTTTGTTTCTCTGTAGTTATTCCAATACCCCTAGTTCTTCCACTGAGCTGATTGATTATGCTTTCGTTTTGTTTTTAAAAAAGGAAATAAATAATAACAAAACAAACCAAGCCATCATCAATTTTTTTAATTTGTCTTTTTATAAATATACCAGAAGTTCATTCTAGAACAATTAATGATTTCTTTGGCTTGACATCTTGAAACCAGTAAAATTCTGGGAAGTAAAAGAAGTATCTGTTTAAACACACACATCCAGGAGGGTGAGGTTGCTTGGGTTTAAAATTTATTTTCAATGTCTTTGAGAAATAGATATCAGTATTCAAATTTTGGTAACTTTTTGGTAGCTGTGGTGGACTAAATGGTATGGTACAAACATGGTATGACTAGTAAAGAATATTGTCTTTCATTTGAAGAATGAGTATTTGGGAAGAAGAAAAAAAGCAACCTGATAATGAATCATCGAAAGAGCTAAGAATTGTTTCAGGAGGAGTACCCACAGAAGAGGTTTTGTCAGAATACACTGCAGAGGAGTATCTTGAGAAATACTTGTTTTCCATTATTCTTGTAGACCATGAAGCATCCTTTCTCTAAGAAAAATTATTTCAGTTGGGAAACAACCATTTACGTCTGCCTGTTCTCTGGTTTGGGTTGTTCTAGCACCCCTGGTCATACATTTGAGCAACTCTCAAACTGTCAGAGTAACCTCCTGGCGCACAAGTACCCAGTGTCAGTCTCTTCCCAGGGACAAACAGACCATTAGTCCTTTGTGAGCACAACGAACGCTCGGATCAGAGCGTCATTTCAAACCCTGGAAGCAGAAACTGTGCCAAGAAGAGTCAAATCTTTGTTAGGAGTCCCTTGTAGCAGGTTACTGCTTTGCTTTAAACATCTCTTGGACAAATCCCTGCTACATTCAGGGTCTCTTCTTTCATATGTATTTTATGTTTGCACTCACTAGATTATCTAATCTCTCCACGGCAGGCACAGACCTTCACCTGGTTATGTCCAAACTGAGCCCAATATCTTGTGTTGGAAACAGAACCAAAACATAAAAGAAGATAATGCTCCAATTATAACTGACTTTAGTAACAAGCAGCCACTTTTATCCTCTCCATCTTTTGTTAGACACCACACAACAATCAGATACGTAAGATCTGAATTTGAAGAAAAAGTTTGAAAAAAATTGAAAAAAAATGCAGCCCAGAAACCCCCCCACCCCCTGGGCAGCATCCCCAGCCCCATGGCCAGCAGGGTGAGGGGGGGATTCTGCCCCTCTGCTCCGCTCTGGGGAGACACCCCCCAGTGCTGCCTCCAGCTCTGGGGCCACCAACATCAGAAGGACATGGAGCTGTTGGAGCGGGGCCAGAGGAGGCCCCGGAGATGCTGGGAGGGCTGGAGCCCCTCTGCTGGGAGGGGGGGCTGAGAGAGTTGGGGGGTTCAGCCTGGAGAAGAGAAGGCTCCTGGGGAGACCTTGGAGCCCCTTCCAGTCCCCTAAGGGGCTCCAGGAAAGATGGGGAGGGACTCTGGATGAGGGAGGGGAGCCCTAGGAGGAGGGGGAGGCTCCAGGAAAGCTGGGGAGGGACTCTGGATGAGGGAGGGGAGCCCTAGGAGGAGGGGGAAGGGTTTGACCCTGAAAGAGGGGAGATGGAGCTGAGCTGTGGGGAAGAACTTGTTTGGTGTGAGGGTGGTGAGAGCCTGGCCCAGGTTGCCCAGAGAAGCTGTGGCTGCCCCATCCCTGGAGGGGTTCAAGGGCAGGTTGGAGGGGGCTTGGAGCAACCTGGGCTGGTGGGAGGTGTCCCTGCCCAGGGCAGGGGGTGGCACTGGGGGAGCTTTCAGGCCCCTTCCAACCCAAACCATTCTATGATTTTATGAAAGAGAAACAATGCTGTTGGTGTATTGGTGACTGCAGAGCCCAGAACGTTGCATTTCTCTCTGGGCAGTCCCCACACACCAGCAGAACTGCTCACATCAGCCTGTCCATGGTAAGAAAATGCAAGCACTTTGCAAAGTCTCAGGACAAGGGTGAGCACGGGTGCAGTCCCCCTTGAATTGTTTTATAGTACACCAGGTATCTACTGCTTGGGGTTTACACCAGAATAGCTAGAGGCATGTAATTACACCAACATATGTTTTGTACAGAGACAGATTTACTTTCAGTTAGAGGAATAAAATCCCAAATCACTCTTAGGTAACACTTAAGATTCTGCATGGGCTCCCCACAGCAAAGTCAGGCAGCAGTGGCAGAGCTGGGATCCATTACACGTCCCTGCACCAGCGTGCCCACCTCTCACCCTCCTGTCTCCCCTTCACTTGGCATTTTAGCTGAAGCACCAATGAGTCATCAGTCGCTGTAATGGGATCAGCAAAAGGCAACCAGTTGCAGGCTCCACCTTCATCCTCACAAAAGAAGAATTCAGTAACAGGAGAAATGCATCTATTTTCAGGATTGCTTCCCAAGATGTTGTACTAGTCTCGGAGCATCACTCGCCCCTGTACCTGCTCCGAAGAGGAGGAAAGTGTGATGAGCCCCCAGCACACCCAGCACAGCCTGAGAGTGACTCACTCTGCTATGTTCAGGTAGCCACAGGACGCCACGGCGTGGAGAGGGGTCCAGCCCTCGTTATCCTGCTGGTTCACATTGGCTCCGTTCTCTACAAGGAACTTCACCATGTCCAGGTTCTCATCTATACAGGCCTGAGGGAGAAGGGGAGGGGGGACACACAGGGGAGGGAGGGATTGAAGAGAAAAGGAAGAAAAAAGAAGAAGGTGTTAGTGTTCAATCAGGCGTAGAGCCTTCATGTGCAGTTTACTGGCAGCAGGCAATTCCTGGGCTGAGTTTCCCACGCTGGGAGCTGGCACTTCTTAAAACTTCAGGTAGCATGAATTGGGGAACTAAAATAAATTAATTTCAGAACTTTCAAAAATTAATTGTAACTCAGAGAGTTCCCAGGTGGACAAATCTCTAAATCTGCTCAAGCTTTACTTCTCACCAATTGATCCGTTTCCTCCCTCTCTCCCACACTGTCACCTCCCTGGAGCGGGGACGTGCTGTCAAGTTCTATATCTGTATTACTTTCAGGCACAGCATCAAATTCCTCTAAGCAAGGCAAGCTATGTATTTATTTGGATTACATTGTTCCCTCAAAATGTCAATGAAATAACGTCATAACAATGAATGAAATGAGATATCACTAGTGGTAGGGACGAGCTCAAGAAGCCCGACTGAAGCAGACCATCCTGGATTTTGCCCTTGACAGATTTAACCACAGCAAAAGCAGCATATTAGAGAAGTTAATAACTTCTTTATTCAGCAGTATCTATTCATTTTCCTGAGCATAACAAAGCACAACTTCCCCTGTCAGCCCCACAGACCCTGTGAGCTACTGAAGGGAAGGACAACCCTTTATTAACCGCTGCTTTCATTCCAGAGCCTGCATTCACAGAGACCTGCTTTGAAGCTGCCAGAAGAAGACCTAGCTGGATTTTCAAGTCTCTGTGCTTCTGTTGGGTGGAATTCCTCCTTCCTCAAATTCCTGGCTACAGCACGTTCTGCGTTGCATTTACAGTTCACTGGAGGCTGCTATTTAAGGATGAGCTGGCAATTTAATACATACATCCAAATGCATGTGCCTCAGCTGGGAAGCACCAAACACGAGCAGGAGGGGAAGGACTGGCTGTTTCTGCATGTCCAGCTACAGGCAGGAACCTAGATCCTCATTACTAGAGAGAGAATCAGCTTGGTCAAAATTCCTCCAAAATCATATATATTCTTTTATATAGCTCAATGTGGGCACATCTATCAGCTACAGCAGTCAGATGACTTCCAGATGATCATTCTTCTAAAATGAGCAACACTGACTACCCATTCCTATCCCAGCAAGTAATGGAAATGAGGAAATTGTCTCTAATCAACACCCCCCACCCCCAAAAGAGACAATCCTACGTTATCTAACACGTTTATCTGCCCTGCACTGCTTATCTGAAAGCAGAGCCGTGCCCTGCGCCAGGACCCCCAGCCCCTGCTATTGCTGCAGCAACTGCAAATCCCACAGCAGCCCCTTACCCCGCACACACGACTCTCTGCTCGGTTCCCAAGCCATGTGAAAGGCTACCTGTGAACTTAAAAAGCAAAAACATTTATACCTCTTGCCCCTAAGGAAGCATGGCCCAGAAAACTGACTCCTGTCACGGTTCCTTGGGGGTTACATCTCCAGTGGTAGGAAGGGATGTCCCCGGAACAGCATCAAGCACCCACGTCCAGCCCATGCCCATGCTGCACCTTTCCTTGCTCTGTTTCAGACTGGTTTAATAAGATTAAACTCTTTGCCAGAAAAGCACAATCACAATTCTAGAAATAGTTTACTTCGGGGACTGCTCCAAACCCAGAATGGATGAGACTGCCCCTGGGCTGGCTCCATCCACCCTGCCCAGTCCATGGACATTCTCCCACCTTCCAGTAGAAACCAGCTTCACCCTGTAAACCCAGCTCTAGGGAACCTTCCTTATATTATTTCAGGCATGAGAAACTGGAAAAAAACCCAACAACTCAAACCAAAAATACTAGGGATTGAAGAGCATCGCACTGAGGTCAGAGGAGTCCCAGGTCCCAGCAGGATGGGGTAGGACACGGTCAGGTCTGAGCAGAGCAGACACGAACCAGGTTCCACCACGAGTCTCAGGAGCAAGGTTTGCTCCTTTTACTCTTTTATTTAGATCGTCTGGGTCCAACCTCCTCCTCAAAGCTGGGCTAAGTCTGATGTCAGACCAGGGTGCTCAGGGGCTGCTCCAGCTGGTTTTTACTGCCTGTGGGGATGGAGACCCCCTGGCTGGTGTGGGCTCCTGTCCCAGGGCTGCAACATCCTCTTGGTGGGGAATTTTTCTTACTATTTTTCTTGCTGCAGCTCACACCCCCGGCTGCAGCAGCACAGATCTTCCCTCCAAGTCCCAGCAGGTGAGAGAGGAAACACCAGCCAAATATTCCAACTGCAGAGAGGAACTATCATGTGCCCAACACACACAGGATTCATTTTAAGGCATATTCTAGAAGGGACACATTCCTGTTTTCCATAACCCTGCAAACTACACCAACAAATCTGTTAGTGGCTTCTGTCTGTAACAGGGCATTCAAATGCAGTGGGAAGGTGAAGTGTGACACACAGAGAGGAGGACACAGACACACACAGCAACATCATAATCCTTTTCCAGTTCAAGGAGTGATTTTTGGGGAATTCGATTCTGAGCCTGCACAACTCAGAGCTAATCTGTACTTTCTTGCCACCCATATTTATTGTCATATACTTCAAGTTTTCCCCCAACACATCACAAACAAATTGCACTTACAACCTTATTGATGACTTATTTACGTTTTGACCCGGGAACACAACCACAATAGCTCACTTTCTAAAGAAAACTGACTTCATCTAGAAATGGATTGCTCCAAGAATAGCCAAGAAAAGTCCGCCCACGCAGTGGTTTCTCTGGAGCACAGTCACTTCTGCCTGACTAAAGAATTTTAGCCTCAAAAAAGAATTTTATCAGCGCGGCTGTGACAAAGCAGCGCAGAGATGGCCGGGCCTGGGCACAATCACTGCTCTGCTCTATTGGGTTACACGTTACCTGCAGCCTCAGTGTAAATCTAAATTTAGACTGAAGAATGTCTTTATGTTGTAAGCCTTGTACATATTTGATAGAGAATTATATTTACATTATATCACTTAAACCACGCAAATACACCCACTGCATCTGCACATACTGGGAATCGGCCAGGAGAGAGGACCAGTTCTTGACCAAGCCACTGGATATACTGGACTCTAAAATTAAATGTGTGTTTAGATGCATAAAAGAGCCCCCTCTTCCCCCCGCCTCCTCCTTTTAAATTTCTGCCTGTTATTGGCCTCGTCGTTCTGCTGGCCCCATCTCGCGTGGTTCCTATGGAATGCAGGCTGGAAACAGGAGGGATAATGGGATCAAACCCCACCTGTTCCCACCCCGAGATCTGCAGTAATGTGACTCGCCTGGCTCCTGAGGAGATAAAACAATGACAAAGTGACAAAGCTACACGGGTGCTGACAACAGCAGGCACTCGCCAGGGAACCATAACCCATTCCACGCTCACCACTTGCCTTTGCCACGAGGACAGAGTCAAGCACAAAGGTGTATTGAACGGAGCAGCGAGGGATTCTTTAATATCAAAGAAAAATAACCCCCACCCTTCTGCACCAATGTGTCACGAAAAACTGCTGTGCAAGTTATGTCACCAAGCAATGTGACACTGCTTGGCAAATATTTATTTCAGTATATTAGTGAGTGACACATCAGAATAGAAATGAGCCCAGAGCTGAGTAACAGGAACAGATTTTTAAATGAATCGAGGCTGCATTACAAGGCCAAGTGCTGGGTCCTGCACTTGGGTCACACCATCCCCATGGATGATACAGGTTCGGGGCAGAGTGGCTGGAGCTGCCTGGTGGAAAAGGACCTGGGGGTGTTGGTTGACTGTCGGCTGAACAGGAGCCAGCAGTGTGCCCAGGTGGCCAAGGAGGCCAACAGCATCCTGGCCTGTGTCAGGAACAGCGTGGGGAGTAGGACTCGGGAGGTGATCATCCCCCTGGACTGGGCACTGGTGAGGCCCCACCTCGAGGGCTGTCTCGTGTTTTGGACCCCTCACCACAAAAAAGGAGGCTGAGGGGAGACCTTCTCGCTCTCTCCTCCTGAAAGGAGGGTGTAGCCAGGGGGGGTCGGTCTCTTCTCCCAAGTCACAGGCGGTGGGACGAGAGGAAACGGCCTCAAGTTGCACCAGGGAAGGTTCAGATTGAATACTGGGAAAAATTTTTCCATGGAACAGGTTATTAAACATTGAAATGGGCTGCCCAGGGAAGGGGTTGAGGCCCCATCCCTGGAGGGATTCAAAAGACATAGTGCTTAGAGCCATGGGTTAGTGATGGTTTTTATCAGAGTTAGGTTGATGGCTGGACTCGATGATCTGAAAGGTCCCTTCCAACCCAGACAATTCTATGATTCTAACATCAGTAGGTGCATCATCTCATCTGCCTCAAATATCCAAATGCAAGAATTTTTTGCATTTTTATAATATTACATAACACTAATCATACTGGCCAAAATTTGAACGAGTGAGGTGGAGAAGGAGTCTCAGAAAATTTGATAAACAGAGGCACTGAATAACCCCTGTTCAGTTCTGAAAACCTCGTCATTCCCTCATGTAAGAAACTATCAGGCACAGGATTATTTACTTCATTTTTTAGTCAGATGCCCTGAAAGAACACACTGCTTATATGTTAATATGCTCTGACATACTTAACACCTCTTAGAGCAATAATAATGAGGCCAACAATTGGGATAATGAGAAAAACTGGTAATTTCTAAAGCTCTTCTAAACTTTGAGAACTTTAGAAAACACGTATAAAAGTTATGACAGATTAAATGGTAGCTTTTAGGGATTGCAATATATTTCTGTGTATACTTTTAAACTATCAACCAATTAACACATATTGTCACAGAATTCATACTTGCACACACATGAATGGTACTAATACTGTCACAGATGACATTTTACCAAGGTATAAATTAAAGAACAGCAATTCTCACTGTTTAGAAGTTCTCGGGGCACACACTTGCCCAGCTCAAATTTTTGAGAGCCTTGACTGCTGCTACCCCTCCAGAAAATCCTGCTTTGTGGTGCACATCTGCCAAAATGAAGCACTGCAAAACACCAGGGAAGAAAACCACATTTGCTGAGCTCCAGAAGGTAAAGCTCATCTTCTGGGTGAGCGAAGGGGGTTACCTGAGGTTACTGGAGGAAGGAGAAGAGGACAAAGAGGAAGTAAAAGGGGGAGATGTGTCCTCTTTTTAGTACTATTAATCCTCTAACCTTAAATTTAGGAGAGTGGATAAGTTTAGTAACCCGAGAGGATCTATCGCTATGCAAAGTTCTCCTCTTTTATTTGATAGAGCGTTCCTTGGAACATTGTAAGAATAACTACGTGGGAGAGCAACATTGCAGAGCAGCCACCGGCCCCGCCAACCCCAGGGGGAGGAAAGAAAGTCAAAAAAAGTTGGTTGAGAAGTAACATTGTTTTTTCAGTAGATAGTTATTTAATGTGAGGAAACACTCTCTCCCCTGAAATACACCTGAAAATTGCTTTGCATAAAGAAAAATACTTCGTTCAATTTTAGGCACCGCTGGCCCTCAGCTGTTTGGTCACATCTGTAGAAGGGGCTAAAAGCAAGGTTAACTGCACAGCACAGCATTTTTGCCTCTAATTTTTTAATTCCTTATCTTCTTTCTCTGTAAAAGATATAATCCCCCCTTCGAGGCAATGAGACAGGGTGGGAGCCTGCGGTGACCATCCTCCCCTCTCATCAGAGATCCTCAGCAGCAGAACCTCTTGCCACCTGTGCATTTTCCTTGGCAGCTGGTTGTCTCCGAGTGTTTCTGGAACGGCACTAACGCAGGACAGTTTTCAGTGTCTTTGGTGCAAACTGCACCCGGTGCCCAGAATTACCCACTGACCGCTCAAAGAAAGTTGGCTCATCCCAGTTAAATCCCGGGCAGCGCTGGGCGAGACTCCATCCCCAGCTCACGGCATTTTCCAGCTCCTGGCAGGGGACCAGCATTTAGCAGTTTTTCCATAGGGAGGAAGTGCTCAGTTTCTAAAATTTGCAGATACCGCACATTAGCTTCCCCCTCTTGGATAACAGGTGGAGCCCTTTGCAGCCAGGGACACGCACAGCATAATTTATTTTTTTTTGCCAGCAGCTATTGCCAAGCCATTCTTCTCTCAAGCGTGAAGTTTACATTACAGTAACAGGACGGGGGACACCAGGAAACGTTACAGAACAACCCTGCAAAGCTCTGCTCCTCTGGCAGGGCTCGGTCAACAACCAGACAAAATCTGATCTTTATCTTGAATGGAACCTCGTTATTGTAATAGCACTGTTGGTGTTTGTGCCTTCCGTGGAGCACACTGAGCACACAAGCGTCGTTCCAACATGGGTGACGCGACAGCTCCGGCCACCACCAAGGCCTCTGTTTGCAGATCTGTGGGCATCCCCCCGGGATGGGGAGGAGGGGGATCAGGGAGTGACAGGAGCCAGACGGGATGAGACTGGAGGGTTCTGAGGACCAAGAACCGAGCTCCAGCGAGGTGCAAACAGCAAAATACTGTTCACTGTCCAGGGGGTGGGTCACATTCAGCAAACCCCAGCCCGGGGCTGGCGTTACATTCCCTCTATATAATGATAGCAGGGAGGGGAGCAACTGAACTGCCTGACAAATTCCTAAGAAGTTGCTTGGGATCAGCTGAGTGAAAAAAAAACCACACATCTTTTTTTTGCCTCTCCGTGGGGAAAGGGGCTGTTACAAACCCCGGAGCTGTGGCAATAATTGAAATAATTACACATCAGACACACTGCCACAGGCACCCACGGGAAGGCAACTGTTTTCTCCACGCTCTGCCCAGCGTTAGGGCAGTTTAATGTAAATACACGACCCATGTTGAGTGCAGCTGTGTCCAGGCAGAACAGTTCTCACCAGCGTTTCAGCCCTGCATCCAGCCTCTGGCCCCTTCGCTGCCGTCCCCCCGCACGAGGGGCTGGCACCGCGCACCGCAGCGCGTGGAACAGGGCTGAGCTCGGCCCAGAGCACACGGCATTTCTAAAGGCAGCCCCATTGAGTAAATATTTAGTTTACAAACAGTATGTCACATCCCCCAGTGTCATATGAGCATGTAATAAAATAGCAGCAGTGCGCATACAAGAGCTTGGAATCAAAGTCAGCCAGGAAACCTGTAATAACTGCTGCGGTTTTAATTTTGGCTATATTTAATTCCCTGGTGCTCCCTCCTTGGTTGGTCAGGATTTGAGAGACAGAACCTATGCATTCTGTGCAACCTGCTCTGGGTGGACCTGCTCTGGCAGGGGGTTGGACTAGATGATCTCCGGAGGTGCCTTCCAACCCCATGTGATTCTGTGATTTTCTCAAGGCGGAGGAAAGATGCAAGAAGGGAAAAGAAGAAAGGGCTCCACGCTGGGCTCCTGGGTCAGGTGTTTCTCCTCTGAATACACCAGTCTCGTGACAGAGCCCTTCTTGGTGGCTGCTCTGTGCAGGAGAGTGAGAATCCCGTACCCCCCCTGTGTGGGACTCCCGGGTCACCATCCTCATGGGTCCCACACAGAACCCAGACTTGGCAGCTGCACTCATCACATGGAAATACAACACATAAACTACTAACCAGACACACCCTGGCTTTTTTGAGTATTAGAGACCTCAGGTCAGTAGAGGCCATGCTTCATCTCTTCAGCCTCCCAGGAGTATCTTGGCCCATGCAAAAACAGACCGTGCTATTAAATCAGACTGCTCATGAAACCCCCAGTATTAATTCTTTTACCAGATTCTCCTCCAATCCAGAAATAGAGTGTTGATGCCATCTTCAAAGCTCTTTACACCTCCAGCCCTCCCCTGCCATGGTTTGTCTGCCTCTGTTCCATCACTGATCCTAATTTTTGTAACTTTTAAGTGAAAGTATTAATGAACACCTCTGAGATTGTTCCACACAGCCCTACAGCATTCCTGTCCCCATCTTCAGCTTTCTCCATACGTCAGTTTGCCCAGAAAACCATGTGGTGAAACAGTTTTTAGATGACGAGATCCTCAGAGCAGGGACCATCTGTAATTGTTTAAAGAGCTCCAGCTCCCAACACCCCCCAGTGCCAGTCCAGCCCAGACCAGCAGCAGACGTACCAGTGAACACTGCAGTCGGAAGGACCTCAGGAGCCTTCCTCCTCCTGCAGTGACTTGGCCCAGGCTGTGGCTGTGGGGATGTGTGGCTGTGTGTCTATCGACATATCTATATCCACATGCACACACAGACACCCATATTTATTCTATGTAAATCCAGGGAACTTCACAGCGCTGGGGAAGGACCAGTGAACACAGATTTGTGTCGTGTCCGCAGCCACTCTGATCCAGAACTGACTCACCTCCATTGTTTAGATGCTTTATTTCCCCAAGCCTCTAGTTTTCTCCTCTTGAATGATGTTCTCATGCTGGAAACCTGACCCAGACTCATTTGGGTGGCAAAGGCTGCACCACCCACGAGCTACAAAAGATTCTGCATTAGATATGGGGCGACAAAAGTGGGTTTTGTTCATACGAACCAAGCACACCCTTTCCTAACCACCAGTGGGGCTGTTTTTGACAAGATCAGACAGATCCACATCACATTCAAACTGACTAAAAGGTTTTTTTTGGGCTAAATGAAGAGCCAGAGAGTTACCGCAGTGAAAACAGGCCATAAAAAGCATTAAAAGCAGAACATTCTCTGTGTGCATGCAAACACAGCCCTGAATTCAACCCGAGACCCCCACACCAGCTCCCGTAGGTGTAAGTCCAGGTTGTCAGGTCCCTCTTGCCCCAGCCAGATGTTCCCTTGCCTTGCACAAGATTTATTTCATCCACATTTTCAAAGTGTAGAGAAACAGATGTACCCAGAGCGTGTTGACTGTCTAAGGTAGGTGGGATATATCACCCTCATGGTACCTGGCCTTTCCCACTGCCTGCAGACCCCCATAAAGCCATTTACAGCAGGAGGAGATGAATCCCACCTTCAATGACTTACCAGCAGGCACATGAGCCACCTCCAAGAGCCAAGATTTACCAGGTCGCTCCTTAACCTGAGGTGTGAGATGGTTTTCTTTACCACAACCATGTGCTATACAATTAGCGCAACTAGAGCTTTTTGAGGAGTTTTAAAAATGGTTAAAGAGTTACTGCAAACCAGAGGATGGCACTGATACCAGCGGCAGCATTAACTGTTAATAGACTGGGCTGGAGGAATTAGCAGGCCAGTTAAGTCATGCTGTCACAACACATAGGTCACAGTCAAAGGGATTAAATGACAAGACTTACTTCTCTACTGTTCTCCTGTCATAAGTCTAAAATATATGGAACAGGGTTAGCCGGGAGAGGAGGGAGTCACTCTTCCACTGAATGCAAAGTAAGAGTAAATACATGATGTCAACACAGACTGCGAACCAGCCAGCGCTCCACAAAGGCAGGCAGAGCCCGGTGACAGCCCAAGAGCAGCAGGGTTAAATCTGGGAACACAGAGAGGGGAGTTCACAGAAAACAAAGAGAAAAGCTCTCCCAAAATAGCCCTGCAACTGTCACCACTAGCGCCTGTCAGCACTGGAAGGTATGACCTTGCCATTGTGTCTCATGATCCCCGCTCTGCTCTTAAGGGGGCATTTGTCAGAACCGGTGCTACCAAAAATTCCCCTTCCAAGTGCTCCCGTATCTCCGGCTGCTCCGACTGCGCTCGCCAGGGATGTGGGAACAACCAACAGCTCCTACTGCTGCTCCTGCAGAAACACTCCTGTACCCCCCCCTTCTCTCTTCTCAGCCCTGGCTTTAGGGGGCCCTTACGGCTGCCACATCCCGCACGGGCACTTCTGTGCCATCAACCTGGGTTTAAAATCTTCACGATTTAAAATCCTCGTGCAAATCTAATTCTGACACAATTGCATTAGAACCAGCAGAAAGAGGTAAATTCTGTTTTAAAGAGAGCAAGGGGAAAGGGAGGAAAATGGGATAAAAAGGGTATTATTCATTTTCTCATCTGATTAATTAGCTGTTGCTTCACTTTTTAACAGCGGTTGAGTCATACTTCTCATGTAAGCAGGAAAGAAATATGGATGTCAGATTTTTCCATTGGAATAAACCCCACAACAACTACAAGTACTCAGCAGTACCCATGCCAGTCATCAAAAGAAACCAACAACAAATCTCTTTGAATGATTAGCACAACAAAAACGCCAGTAGAGCACAAGGGGAGAGAGGAGTACGTGCAAAGGCATAATTATTTCATGAACGTAGCATTTTCAAGATGAAATAGCAGCACGAAATGTCAGGTGGGGACCTGCTTTGAATAGAAGCCACATTTTGAAACTCTCCACGCCTTTATACAAGTGCGGGGAACATCACCTTATTTAAAAGGAGGTGGATGTAAATATCTACCGCACCAGGCTATGGAAGGCTTAGCTACACGTCTGTGAAATTCTCTGCAATTATCAGGAGTTCTGCTGCAGCCCTGGCACTGGCAGTGAGTGCCGAGGCCCCAGACTTCACCTCCCCAGGGCTGGTACATGGTCCGTGTCCAGCGAGGGGGGCTCAGGGTGGCAACGCTGCCAGCTCGGCTGCTCCGGGACAGAGGAGCCACCGCTGGAGAGAAGGGAAGGTCAGTTGGACACTCACCACTATGTTACTGAAATGGAAAGAAAACGGGAAGAAAGCTAAACTGCCCTGCTCTTACTTCTGCCAGGACGACAGGCACAGGCGTGCAGGTTTGCCATCTTTTTGCTCCTCATTTAACATTTTTAATCAAAGAGCATTTTGGCAAATGAATGAAGGTCATTCACGGAATGATCCGCAGATGAATGAAGATCGGTGAGCACCACAGCTGGAAGTATTTCACTGCACAAACAGCCACAGGGATCAGCCCCTCATGCCAGCCCCTCCGGCCTCATATTATTTGTGCTCCTACGTGTCCAGCAACCTCCCCCGAATTCACCTCTCATTCAAATAGGGCCCAATACAGTGATTTTCCACTTCCACCCTGCTTTTTCTCTCCAGCCAATGGCCTGGTTTGCCATTTGCATTCACAGACTGGAAGACGTAGCTCTGAACCAGAGACAGGCCATGTGGGACTGACTTTAAAATCCAATCTAGATTAGCATTTTACTCTCTTCCTTTTCATCATCTTCATCCCCCTAATTCCAACATGATTTTTAATACCCATTATTTCAACAGCAGTTGGAGGCTAATACTTTGTACCATCTGAGAAGAGCTGGAAATGAGTCCAGTACTTGATCAAGTGCCAACACTAAAAATAAAGTCTTTCTGTCACTAAAAAGCAGGGACTGCCAGTTTTCTAATGGGGTAGAGCAGCATTAGCTTTTCAAGTCTCACCAGTTTAGTCATTCTGACCACTAAGTATGTCATTTCTCTCCCACTCAGCCAGCGCTCTCTGGCACTGGATCAAGACAGTATATATAAATCTTGCCCTTAAATTACTGAAATTTTAGTTCCTGCCTGAAATAACTCTACGTTTCATAATTAGAAAGCTCACAAGCATTTCACTCTGGTGTGGAAAATGGAAATTCAGCTACTGCAGTAGCAACAGTGGCAACGCTGCACCTACTTAATGCGGTTCCTAAAGGCACTTTTACAATTCAAGCAAAATACATACATGCGGTTTCTGCCATCAGCTATATTACATAAACATATTCCATATTTCCAACATGCACCCTTAGATCAGCTTCAGCCAAACCAAGGTGCTCCCCAGCACCCAGGGCTGACACTTGCCCCTGAGTTGCCTTGAATGGCAACCGGAGGTCGCAAAGCAATGTGGCGAGGCCAACGCCAAATGAAGGCTAACACTGTCAATAATGGGGAAAAAATATAAATAGAACTTTTCAGCCCCTTTGGCAAGGTTACTCCTCTCACACCATACCTGCAAGAAGGGTGAGAAGAGCTGGGAAGGCATGACAGGGCACAGCAGGGCCACTCCGGGCTCCAGCAACAACCCTCTAAAGGAAGAGGCTCTCTAGGTCTTCTCGTAACTGGTCAGAGACATGGAAAAACAGCTGCAAATGGTTTTAGCTCCAGCTTGGCAAACCACAGATGAGATTTGTGTTACCTATCTATAGACCTCAAAGACAGACAGAGAAATCTCTACTGGTCACTTCAGGCTTTCTTTGCCTCTTCCACAGCAGAGCACGTTGAGCAGGCTCTGCTGGCTGAAGCCAGGGCTGCCTTCGTCCTGCCCTCTTGCACCCCCAGCCAGCAGTCCCCCGGCAAGGGCCACTGACACTCCTTTGATACCCCACTACACAGATCCAGGAGCCAAACTGGGACCAGACAAGCACTTACACTGCTATGAAAAGCATATGACAAGAGCAGCAGGAAGGGCAGGACCGAGACAGACTTAAGCTGCTCCCTAACACGAGCTGTCCTCTCCCCCGGCCAGAGTCACCCCGCGCACGGCCCAGGGAAAACTGCTGCTTCAACAGAGAAAGCACCAAAGTGACCCCAGGGCTGGTATCACTCCCACACACACCAGCTCTTCCTTGCAGACTCCAAAGCTCACATGGGGGAAGCACCATGAGCTCCTGCCAGCGCCAAGAAGTGCCCAATTAGCACTAAGCAAAGATGAAGAAAAGAATGACTTCACGCAGAAGAACCTCAACTCGTCTGCAAATGAAAAGAAAGAGGAGATCCCTTTGGTGGATTCATAGACAGTTCATTCAGAAGCAGAATCCTACCCCTGGATTTCATGCACATCATTGTCTTGCAGCCACACCAGGTTTTGTTCCAACGTCTAAGTCTCAACTTTGTGGCCAAGAAAAACAACAAAAAAAGTTGGTTTATAAAAAGAAAACCCTACACTCCATAATTCTACTTATGAATCTCGTTGCCAATGCTGCAGTGCCTGGGAAAACTGAAATTTTCTTCTTGGCAGTTACGGATTCTGATGGCTCAATGCTCTCTCAGCACCAGAGCTGTGCTCCTCGGGGCTCAGCAGAAATCACTCCCACTGAGACTGGCAGCAGCTTCCTTGGGCATTTCCCAGTCCCGTGCAACGCGGAGCCTTCAAGAGAACCAGTGGGTTTTCTGCATTTTGCCATTCTTCCTGCCCGGTACCTGACCCAGAGACCGGGACCCACCAGGGCTCCACTGCCAGGAAGTGTCCTCATTCCCAGCAGAAAAAGGCACCACCTCAATCACAGGACACAGGATTGTCTTTGATGCGTAACAAAGGAGGGAGCAGACAAAGAGGGTGCTGGATAAAGAGATCTTTCTAAGGAGGAAGTGATTCCACATTTCTTCCTCAAAGGACTGTAGCTGAGGTTTTCCCAGTGCTTCTGTTCCCAGTGCAATCACATGGATTTGCAACACCACTGAACATGGTGCAGCTTTTAGGACATGCTTTCTTTTAAATGCTAGTAAAACCTCAATATAATTTGCTATTGCAGTAGAAGCTAAGTTATATATTTTCTTAAAACATAGTGAGAAAAACCCTAACTAAACTATCAATTTAAGGTCTGGACTGTGGCTGGATTTTGAGAGTGTCAGTGAAGAAGACAGGAGCTGCCAACCCTACAACAGTCTGCAGATCTCTTCAGTAACAAACTTTCCGAGAACTCCCGATACTGGGAGAATCCCCCTCACAGGAGTTTTCAATGGCAGCTACACTTTCAGGCAGAGTTCACTTGAACTTGCCTCTATTCATGGGGAAAAAAAGAAGAACCAAAAGAAACAAACAATTGACACTATTAGGGTTGCTCAATCCACAGGAAAGTGTCTTGGTTTGTTGATTGTTGTTTTGGTTTTTTTTAATCCTGTTGGAAACAAACTAAAGCAAATCTCAGCACGGCCACCAGTAACAAAATCCTTCATGGTGGGTTTCTGAGCACACCAGCCTCCTGCTGCCACCATCAGCACAACCAGAGGCCAGGGACTCTGTTCCAGTGACGCCCATGGAAAGAGAGAGATGGTGGCCAACACCATGCTGAGAAGAAGTGATCTATTAAAGAAAGCGACCTGTAGAATAAGGTCACCAAGAGGGACAAGTGCTGCTTGAATGATAGCTCCTTGCCAGAGCCGTGCAGGGCCCCTGTCAGCCAGTAACCGAGCACTGCAAGGCATCAAGGACACCGACGGGCACAGAACTCATCACAGCAGGACACCAGATCTCCTGCTGGTCTTGTGCAATGTGGAGCCTTCCTGTTCCAGAGAACCAGTGGGTTTTCTGCATTTTGCCATTCTTCCTGCCCGGTACCTGACCCAGAGACCAGGATCCACCAGGGCTCCACTGCCAGGAAGTGTCCTCATTCCCAGCAGAAAAAGGCACCACCTCAATCACAGGACACAGGATTGTCTTTGATGCGTAACAAAGGACGGGGCAGACAAAGAGGGTGCTGGATAAAGAGATCTTTCTAAGGAGGAAGTGATTCCACATTTCTTCCTCAAAGGACT